TGAAATTCATCTTTATAATAGTATCGGAACACATGATTTTTTTATTTGCAATTCATTGTTACATGTATGTGCCTAGTTATTAGCCACGTTGCATTATATTCTACATTGTATGATAATTTAATTCGTACTATCGATTTAATGAATGTAACAAGTTCTTCGATATCAAACCCTATATGAATACAATATTATGGCGTAACGTGTAAAGAGCTCATATTTAGGCATACATGAAATTTAATAAATCGGAATACATTTTACGAATTAACAAGTCTTCACAGCCTTTTTCCTCTTCTTGCGATGCACCTTTATACTATTTACACTCTACGAACCCACGCGTATTCAAAAGTTCAATCTCCTTCTCCTCCTCCTCCTGTGTTTAATTCTGAATCTATTTTTAAACCCTGGACTTAACTTATCACTGAAACGAAAACTTTCCAATGCTGAAAACGTAAACAAAGCGTCTAATCTTCTTATCTATTCCTTCAAAGAGACGCTCGCGATCCCGCCATCCAAGCTCGCGCGTTTCGATTGATCGATTCACGCTACGTCACCGCTGATAATCACCAGCAATTGGCCGAGACAAGCGGCAGGCGTCTGCTATGACAGTCGACTCAGCGGCGTTCGACACGGCGATCAGCAGACACCGCAATGTCCTCGTCTTCCCAAGCTCAGCTGGACGCAACAGCTGTAGAGAACTTTTGCGAGTACCTGCGGATACCCTCGGTCCAGCCCAACATTAACTATGGTGAGCAATTCTGGACATTTAATGCTTTCAATTTCTTCCTTTTCTTTCCCATGATTGATCATTCGAATATTCCGTGGTTTCACGCGTGTACTTCGGAGCACACGATCACGAAAAGCACGTACACGCATATTGCGCACCGGGAACACGGGGTCGGTCATTTCCTCGTTAAGCAAATTAAATCGCTTTCTCTTGCAGTATCGAGGCTCCAGTATCACACGTTAATACGGAACAATTAATTCAACGAGGCTCACGCGTTTCCGCATGGGGACAGGGAACCTCTTAGTTTGCTTGAAGCGTCGGAGACGCTATCCAGCCATTGCCATGCCCCACCCTGTGTGGAATGTTATTTCTATTTTTGTATTTTTTCCTCGAGTCGATAGTAAGCGTCTAAATCTTCTGTGAGATTACCCCCGTAGTTTTTATTTCCTTTGATAAAAGACTGGAGCTTTTTCAGGGACTTGAATGCGATCGTTATTCAAGGACGACTCGTGGATGACCTAAATTGCACAATTAGTTATTCCCTTTATTTCTTGACTTGTCTCGCTTATTTCTTACACGCGTTCAATTTAATCGAGTTTATTAATGTTAAAAGTCATTCATGAGATCACTATAGTGTATACTGTGTACTGTACAAACTTTTGAAACAGTTGACATCATTGTGGGAGATAAGATAATATTTTTCGTTACATTCAAAATAGGACATCAGGTATTTGGGTATCTTTAGGAATTCTGTATTCTATTTGGCTTGTGATAAGAAAATAATTTGATGTGTTGATTTGTGCTAATTTTAGTCCCTTATTTTTCAGATGATTGTGTGGCATTCTTGCAGAAGCAGGCCACATCTCTTGATTTACCTGTCAAGATATACAATGTTCATCCTAAGAAACCAATTGTGGTTCTCACATGGATAGGAACAGATCCATCTAAACCAGCTATTTTATTAAATAGTCACATGGATGTTGTACCTGTTTTTGAAGTAAGTAAAATTATTCAAAATCAATTGAAAAATCTAAATAAATGCATATAACAAATGAAATACAATTTTCAGGACAAATGGACTTATCCACCTTTCAGTGCTCACATGGATGAGAAAGGAAACATTTATGCTCGAGGTAGCCAAGACATGAAATGCGTAGGAATACAATATTTGGAAGCAATTCGTCGTCTGAAACTTGCTGGGCAATGCTTGGAAAGAACAATTCACATTTCCTTTGTACCTGATGAGGAAATAGGAGGAATCCTTGGCATGAAGGATTTTGTGCACACCAAAGATTTTCAAGCTTTAAATGTTGGTTTTGCACTGGATGAAGGTGTAGCTTCACCAGAAGAATGCTTTTATATGTTTTATGGTGAGAGATCCATTTGGCATGTTGCAATAGAGTGTGCAGGCACTCCTGGCCATGGATCTCTTCTAATAGATAATACAGCTGGTGAAAAGATAAGATTCATCATTGACCGTTTTATGGATTTGAGAGCTAAAGAGAAAGAAAAGTTGAAGAATCCAAAGATACAGCTTGGTGATGTTACAAGCATTAACTTAACACAACTAAAGGTACATATTTCTCTTTAAAGTTGGCTTAGAGGTTTATTTCAAATGAAATGATATTTACTTTAGTTAAATTATGATGTTAAACATTTTCAATAAATTACTTATAACTGTTTATTACAAAAATTACATGTCTGTGCACTTAGGAAAGTAATGTTACACAGTGAGTATATTGATAGATTTATATATGTTTTTTCGGATATACGTAATCTCTAATAATGATAAAAGTTTCTATTTCACGTTGTACTAATCTCATGGAAATAATTTGTTCCAGGGTGGTATTCAAACAAACGTAGTACCTACTTCATTAACAGCAATTTTCGACATGCGGCTTGATCCTTCCGTCGATCATAATGAGTTTGAAGCTATGATAAAGAAATGGTGCCAAAAAGCTGGCTCTGATGTTACATATTCATTTGAGCAAAAAAATCCTAAGATCGAAAACACAAAGTTAGATGATTCTAATCCCTTTTGGATTGCTTTTAAGAAGACTTGCGATGATCTTGGAATAAATTTACAAATAGGAATCTTTCCAGGTGGAACGGACAGTCGATATGTAAGACAGGTAACTATCTCTTCTCTTCTTGTGTTGAAGTCTTCTACTTATGCTGACATACTAAATATATTTTTTTAAACTCTTTTCCGTTATAGGTTGGAATTCCTGCCATCGGTTTTTCGCCTATGAACAAAACGAAAATACTCCTTCACGACCATGATGAATATTTGAACGAAGATATATTTTTAAAAGGCATTGAAATATACATGAAAATAATACCAGCAGTAGCGAATGTCTAAGCACATGAAATGAAGCTTTTAATAGTATCTTACAACTGTCTCGACTAACAAACCAAAGCTAAATACCAAAGTTAATATTAATAGCATCAGAAGAATCAAAAAGAAACGAAGAAGAAAGTTTAAATGGGAAGGTATAATTACCACAACCTTAAAAGATTAATGTAGCAAACTGATCAAAAGATAGTGCAATAACATATAAATTTTTAAGAAACTATATAGATTTCAAAGTTAATAATTGTTAAAGAAGTATAAACTATATGTATAAATATATGAAAGTTACCAAGATTGTTAAATAATTATCGTACAAAAAAGACATCCAACATATAATCATGTAATAGAGAGCCATAAAGTCGCAGCAGAATAATTATTTTGATAAACAGTCAACTACAATATTGAGAACGGAACGATGAAACAAGAAGGAAGGAAGAAATAAATTAAAAGGAAGAAGGAAAAAAGAACCTCATCAAAGGGACCAAATGAATATACTTGAATCAGGTATTGGGAAATACATTTACCAGTTTTTATTGTGAAATTAAAGAGCTGAATCCATAATAATATGATGTATACATAATAGTTATATGTAAAAGAAAAATTGATATTATTTTTCTAAGTAGAAACCATATGTTATAATAGTTATTAGAAAGTCAAGTGCAATACTCAAAAGCGTAGAATTACTGTAAAAGTTCTATATACATATGTGCACATATACGTATATATAATATTGTTTAAAAAGTCCTACATATTTTATGAAAGCCATTGCAATAACGATATCTATGGCAATTATATATTTTTATGCATAATTCAACAAATATATCAAAGGAAATAGATATAAGAAAACGTCTATTGATCTCGGTGGTACGAAGAGTTAACATTCTGTTCGAAATTCCATAAAAATTGCCTGTGCCGTTACATTTCATTCATATTCGACTAGAAACAGTGTATAAAAAAAAACGATTCTACGGGGTGACAGTGTCGTGTATTTCTTTTTCTGGCGTAGAAGTCAATAAATTTGTGTACGTGTGTGTGTATTCCCGCCATTATCACGGTGGTTCATTCTTAACAGGGCTGCCGTCCTCCCCTCTCTAGTATAACGATGGACTCGTCCAATGTTTTCGATCTCCCACCACGAACAATTTTCGCACTGTCAGTGCAGGTTGTGAAATATTTTGATCTTAAATATCGATAAAAAATATGAGCATTTTTTTAACTAGCGTAGCAAATTAAAATATATCGATAGACGGTGTCAGTAAGTCATTTTTCGTGCATTGTTTGGGTTCGGCCATTTTGAAGTGGGGAAGGTAAGGGAGAAGATACGCAACTGCTGTCATTCATAGCAAGCGTATCGTAGTGTCTAGAATCGCGATCGACGATTCATTGAACGATCGTCTTAAGGAAAATTGTTATCGCATATAGAAATGATAATTCTGTAAAAGAATAGAGAAGAAAATCCTCCTGTGCATATCCCTTTGTCAGCCATGTGTATAAGTGCATCGTTTAAAATGTCCTCGCAACCCGTACTGAACGACCAATAGAGAAAGGGCGGCAAAGGCACGTGATCACGGTCGGCCAATCGTTGGTACGGGATTTGAAATCGTGCGTGGTCTTTGTTCACGAGCCTGCCGTCAACGTTACTTCAGTTCCGTAAAGGGGGCCTTGTGTCGGTGTCCGTTTATACATGGTCGCTGCCAAAAATCGCATAATTCTCTTGTAAATATATGTGTGAAAGTGGTGCTTGCCCGCGAGGACGACGTGCTTCGAGGATTGTCATACACACGGTAGGTCTTGTTATGCTTTATTATGTGCCGTACACGCGAGTCCCCGCGAAAAATCGCGGAAAAAATCATTCATGTGCATTGCCGGCCCGCCGAGCCATCGAAGCTTTCGAGTGTCAAGGTACGAGGGGGGCAGTCATGACGCTCTCAACGGCAATTTTTTTTTTTCTACGGTTCTTGCTCGTACACGGCTTATCGCGTATTACGATGCGTTTACGTATACGTTCGTGTTTATTTACAGTACGTTACACCATTCGATGGATCTGTCAGAATGGCTCAGATGATTCGACGAATTTTTTTGCCGGTATTTTTAGCCAGTTTTTTTTTCAGACGCGATAAACTCGCGCGATTTGCACGTTTGCCGCGCTTCAGAGGTTCGATGGCGTAGGCGGCCCTGAGCATATCACCATGGCGATTATTTATTAAGCGTACAACGCACTGTGGAAATAAACAATCGCTTACTTAGTTGGTGTGCGTCGAATCGAACTGAATGAGTGATTCATCGCGACTTTCGGCGGGAAGAGAGTGCATTACCGGGAAATCTTACTGATATAATATGTATTTCCGGTGATGAAAGCTATTGTTTTGCCGCGCATTGCACTTCATGCAATGTCACATTTAGACAGAGAATCGTTTACGGGGGGGGGGATTAATTGTGCACGAAAGTGGCTTTCGTATAAATTTCCAATTTATTATGGGTTTTTTTTTTCTTTTTTTTTCCTTTTCTTTTTTAATCGGTTCAATACTTTGAATCAATGACACGGTTGTTTCTTGGCTTAATCGATGCTTACGTATATTCATAATGCCGTTTCTGTAAATAAGGTATGGATTATTAAAAAGAGCCATCATGAAGAATAATTAGAAATCAATAAGTAAATTGAGCAACCCTGGGTCTATGTACAGTCACGCGATAATTATATAATTATCTTTCACAAACTGTACATTTTGGATTTTTCTCCACCTTGTCGCAGCAGATAATCAATAACGAGGGTAGCAATTAAAAGTGGCCATTTTCGATGTGGATTAGGATCTACGGAAAAGTATCGATTTTCAGACAGGGGGAAGGAATAATGGTCGGTTAGGAATAATAATAATAATAATAATAATACAAAAATTTAACGGTACATGGTTTCCCGGAAGACTTATCGGATTTTCGTGGAAACGTTAAAAGGAGAAGAGGTTTTTTGAAAATGTTGCGAATAAACGAGTGGTAGGGAGGGTCCCTCGAGCACTTTCAAGCCTCACCGCCACGAAAGCTATTGACCGTGGGAACCTTCTGGGAACCCTACCCCTCGCCATATGCCCACCGCAGGAAATATCCTACAGGCTCGACCGAAATTTACCTCGCCATGTTTCGTGTTCACGAATGATTATTTGTCACTGTGAGCAGTTCTGCCTTTTTTTGTTCGTTTATTCGCGTGAAACGATGCCATGGCTCTTTTGTGGTTTTCTTTCTTTCTTTCTTTTCCATTTTTTTTTGTTCTCTTTTCGTTGGAATATTCTACCCTGGGAAAGTATACATTTCCATTTGGTGAAAATTATTTCATCTGAAGTTTAACTCTTCAAGGAAATTTTAATTGTTCTCGTTTAATATTCGGTTGGACAAATTAGGATCGTTTAATTGTTACGTTAGAAAGTCGTTACAGAAAAATACTCTGGTTAATGTATTTTTCATCTGTCGGTGTCTTTTTTACGGCAATGTACCATATATCTACGAAATTCAAGCATTCGATATTCTAGAATATTAACGCATAAATTTAGTGGACGATCATCCTACCAAACAATCTCGAGAGAGTGAGAGAGGGGGGAGGGGACGTAATTATAAAAATGATTTCGAGAATATACGGAAAAATGAAGTAATCCAGTTGTGTAAAATTGATCGGTTTTATCATCTAAGGAAATAGTCGAGTAATTAGGAGGCATTGGGGAGTCGGGGGGGGGGGGGGGGGGGGGGTCGAGTCCGTGAGAGCGTGTGCGCGCACTGCGACAGGGTGCAGACACTCTCTCGCAACACTGCTCGACGCGGTGTGGCGCGGTGCGCCGGCAGGGATATCAGATCGATACTCGGCGAAAAGCGCGGGTAGGAGAGGCGCGGCTATACGTATCTACGGTTGGTCCATCGCAAGATCCAGACTGTCGGCTCTCTATGCTCCCGTGGATACGCCCCACCTCTCTTCCTCTTCCTCCGCAAAATTCGTATTCGGATTCACTCCGCTATAATTTGGACATTATTTAGACGGCAGCTGCGCTTGATTTAGTATAGATAATTGCTTCGGACCGGTTAACTTGAGAGGCTATTCTTTTCAGTTTTCGCCGAATCTTTGTAGAAGGATCTTTCGACGAATCGCGTTGTACGAGAGATTGAATAATACTTGAAAAGCTAACTTGGCTTATAGGAGAGGAGGAAGAGCGAATTAACCCCTTCCTTTGATAATGAGTCACACTCGTGGTGTAGTTTATGGTTATAATATAAGAAAATGTGAGGTTCTCTTTGTAACGAAGTTCCTATTTTTCACTCGAACTTTAATTTTCACTTATATGTCTAAGAATTATTAAACAGAGGCGCTGAGATTTAACGTCACAACTAGTTCTCATTTAACGTATTGTCGAAACGATAAGTATATATAGCTACCGTTGAGAAATGTAACCATTGAAAAATCGTAAGGCAACGGGTTGAAAGAAATAAAAATCGAATTGTACGGTTCTGTTTTTCTTTTTTTCTCTTTTTTTTTCGTTTTCTACTTATTCCTATTTCACAATGGGAAATACAGCGTGCCCCTTTACGTTTGCAAGAAAACTTGTAGCCTGTGCCAATTAACCGTGCAATTCGAGCGTCTGTGTCTGGTTGTAGCGCGTGAATCGTGCGCGAGGAAACACGTGGTCATATCGTTGCTTCACCCGATATCGAGTAGCGCACACATGCGCGACCCGTTCTTCAGTGTTTATTTAACTGGCATGAAAATGATGTCACCGGAAGCCGACACGTCGTTTCAGATCCACTCGCGCGTTTTAGACGCTTTCATAGTAGAATCATGCGCAATTTTCTTTTCACCACCGTAGCCTTTGACAATGGTTTTCTTTTCATTTTTTTTTTCTTTTTGTTGCCGTGGGGGCAACTTCTCGATTCGAACTTAAGACGAATCCGTCTAGATGAATTTTCGTTCGAAAGTGTTATTATTCCCACCACGTTGCACAGTCACGAAGGAATCCCGCTGCTCGGAGGAAACGGAAAAATTCCAACGGTAATATCGGGGCCCTAAAAATTTCGATACCTGCCTCAGGGACTCTTTTGTTATAACCGTCCAGGTGTAGTAGGCCGTATCCTTTTGGCTGTACGGTGCCAAAAATCGAGACCCCGGGGAATAACCATCTACCTAACCGCGTGGTATAGTAAGCAGGCAGTTGGAGACAAAAAAAAAAAAGAAGGAAAAGGGACATATTGTTGGCATGGTTCGCACATTAGGAGGCGTTCACGTGTGGCCTTGTTTAAACTTTTTATCTGTTACGCAACAAGTAGAGAGTCCGAAGAAAAGAGCATCACTTTCTCAAGCCTCTCTCTTTCTCTCTGTGGCAATTCACACCGGGGTCCTACGAATTTAAACTGATATTAGAAAGAAACACTGTCGCTGTTTTCTCAACTACTTAACGCTTGAACCCGGCAAGCACAGAGTCGGGGGATAGAGGCTTCTATACGATATTCAGTGAAACGTGTATATAGCATATACGAATAGAGAAAACGACGTTGATGATTTCTCGTAGAAAGGCCAGGAACGTGGGTTGAAACAATGCGATTCCGTCGGTGAATCCTTTCGCTTATTGGCCAAACACACAGTGCTATTAACCCGCGAGCTATTCAACATTGTTCCCGCATGCAAATGTTTTCCTCCCCGCGGTCGTTACAAAAGCTTAACAGGTAAGAGGGATAGTCGGATAGGTGTTTCGAGGCAACGTTCCAAAATTCACCTTCGTAATTCCCGTTGCAATTCGTCGATATTGTTGCTCGAAAGATTTCCAGCTTGCGATAGAACGAGGAAAGGAAAAAGTATAACGTTGCGCGTCGAGTCCAGGTCGTGAACATTATCGGCGGAAGTTAGCCGGTGAGCAACCGCGGCCATGGGAAAAGATCCTCCGTGAGATGCGTTGTGTGTGTGGTGCTTTTCACGACCGTGAAACCAACGTTCGACGTGTATCATGCACGCCTCCTCCCGCGTTACCCTTCCCCCGTTGAGAAAAATTCTCCGGTAATTCTTTCTGCTGATAATTCGAAAATTCGAATGGAAGAAGAAGAAGGTCAAGCGAGGAAAGAGGGTAATGGAGGAGGAGGGGATACGTACACCTCACGCACAGGGTATCGAGGCATGAGAAAAGGTCTGGGTAATTGAGCCGGTGCTAAAAATTCGTAGCTACCTGCCAGGAAAGACTTCCGCTGTCCGACACGCTTCGACTCTCTTCTTACCTGCACGTAATGGTAGTTTCGAGAACAAAGGGACAGAGCGAGCTTTGCACCTGTACCTGCGAACATAGCAGAAATGCATCGACTTTCTCAGCGGACCCTTTTCCAACTGTAGGAGAGAAACTGTAATTCCCCAGGATCACGGTCACTGTCGAGGACGTATTTTTCGCTAACGAAAAACTAAGAAGTAGGAGGAGGAGGAGGGAGACTAAAAGAAGGGCTGTGGAAGGCGAAAGAGAGCCTGTAAGAAAATCCAGCTGCAGAGTTCGACGACACGTAATGAAATTGACTGCTCCCGAGGCAGCTGGCCGCCGCGGAGCGGCGCGCCGTCCACGAGTAATACTTGGCCAAGGATAAAAACACGGCCGACTTTATTCGACATTGCGAATTTATGACCAACTCTGCACACTCGCGACGGAGGAGAACTGTACGAGTGATACGAGGAGAGAGAACGGCAACTTTTCTTCTTTTTTCCTTTTCTTTTTTTTCCTTCTTTTTTCTCAATTTCATACTAAGAGATTTATCAGAGAGATTTTTTTCATGGAATATTCGGATCGACGGATGTGTGGTTTCGTGTGTGACACACCGTTGGCCGCACAAAAGTCCATTTATTAGACGAACACGATTCACATTCGACTCACTTCATAAGCCCTGTTCTCCGCGATTCAAACCGGTTCTCGGGCAGCGATCACAAAGAATCCCGCCGTTTTACGCGCACGCAAGCCTACACCACCGATTGGCCGACTTTGCCTCCTCTCTATATTTATAAAAATCATTTATCTCCACGTCCCGGGGCAGGAATACGTAGATGAACGTTAAATGCGAATTCGTTTATCAGAGGATTTCTATTATCCCGCTGTATATATTATATTTGCCGCATTTTACTGAAACGTTCCGTAGGAATATTTCCTTTTCTCGTATATACATATATATGTACAATCTCGTGGTATATAGAGTCTCGAGTCTAAACCAATATTTGCTCGTCTAGTTTATCACTGGTGCAAACTTGAAAGAAAGAATTTATCGTCCCCCCGATACTGCCTGTTTTCATCTGGTGAAGAAGAGAGAAAAAAAAAAACGAAGGTTTCTTTTAAGCAAATCGATCAAAGGAGCAGCAAAGTTGACATTTCCCATTGGCCTTTATCTTCGCCGTTGTGTTTATCAGAGGCTCATCGTCTTGGCACAGAGAGACGATGCGTTTCGTCAGGTGTTCCCCAGGCGCACAGCTGCGCCCGTGTCCACGCACACACACACATACGAAAGCCCGGTGAAAGGGAAATCTCGCCGATTGTTGTAACGGTGGAGGAGTTTATCGTGCTCGAGTTCAGTTTTATAGCGTTGTAACTTTGCTCACCGTCGACCCACCGCCGCTCTTTTAACCCCTCCGCGCGTTCACGCCCCGCTGCTAACCATTATCTTTCTCCTAAACGTGCAAATATATGTACCCTAGCCTCGTCGCAATTAGTCGAGATCACCTCGGGATCCTCTAACCTGCTCGAATTCCACAGATTTCGAAATATTTATGTATACGTTAATATTTAGCCAGCATTAACTCCACGGTTACAACAATCGACCAGGTTTCCTAATGTGTGTATAAATATATATATAGAGCTATGTTTTGTTGGTGGAAAATAGCCGCTCATTATCCCCGTTTCCCCTAGAAAGTTTCTCACCTAGTGTGCAAACATGTAAATCAAGGTATTCGAGATGGAAAAGAAATTGAGGCACGGTTAGATGATCCGTCGAGGCTAGGATGAAAACTAGCGGCGGGCAAAGAAGAGAAGGGGCCCTTTATGACCTGCGAAGGATTTCAGGTTGAATAGCTCCGGGGTCTTAGGATCGTCTATCGCTGGAGGACCCTTCTCGGAACTTGAGCTTGAAGAGGCGGCGGGGGAGAAAGATTATCCTGTTGCATGAACGAGATACAATTTTCGACGACCCTCTTTTCCGCAAGTGGCCCGTACGCATAAAATTACTCCGTCGAAAAATCGTTTTTTTATCTTCTTCTCAACGCTGCGTGTGCGCGCGCACCTACGCACAATGTCGCCTTGAGAATTTCTTCTGTTTCTTTCTTTCTTTTTTCTCATCTTCGTCTGAATTGCGATTTTCTCTCCTCCTTCTAATTAGGGAAAATTAGCGTGGAATTGCGCATTTTTCTCCAAAGAATCTCCATTCACCGAGATTAAACTTATCGTTTCGTTGAATGCGGCTGCTTGTTGCTCGTCCGCCAGAGGGGTCGACGACCCGTCCCCGACGTAACTCCTCTTCTTTTCCCATTTCCCAGCTTCGTTTTCTCATCGATGCGCGGGGGCTTCTCCTCTCTTCTGGGTCTCTGCGAAAATTTCACCCGCAGAGGAGGAATCGGCACGCCGCTGCAGAATTCTCCACCGGGGCGCCCCGCGTACTTACCACACCACCAGCTCACCCATCGCGAGACAGAGAGAGAGAGAAGTTCCACGAAATTATTAATAGGGAAAAGGCGTAGAAGTTCCATTGCACTTCCACGTCTATAAATATCGTTCAGTCAGTGTGGACTTGAATGTCCCGTGCGCGTAAAGGCCACTCCACGATGGGAGTTACACGTCGAGGCAGGGTCAGTTCTCCGTTTCTCCTTCTCTCTCTCTCTCTCTCTCTCTCTCTCTCTCTGTCGATAATTCAACCGCCTGTTTCTTCCACACCGCGTATGCCAGGTATTTTTAGATCGGCGTTTCGATTGAACGCCACACCGACGATTTCCATATGGCCGTCTATAATCGCCTCTCTCTACTATGACTCTGCTCTATATGCACCTATTACGCTGCTCTTGTGCATCGTCTCTCTGTCTCTGCTGGCCGCCAGCTGACGACGCGATACGTATATACTCGCTCTCCGACTAGTATTTGTACGTTCTTCGAAATTATCTCGAGCAAAGTGGCAATAATTTAGAAGAGATACGTATCTTTTAGAATTGAGAAACAGAGTGGCAGGCTAGGCCAGGCAGAAGCAACACACACACACACACACTTTGTAGAGGATGAAGAGCGGAACGAAGAAGAAGGATGAAAAAGTATTATACGAGAGAACGGAGAGCAGAGCGGCGGGTTCCCCCGAACCGGATAAAGATGGAACCACCAGTCGATTCGACGAGGACAGCACGCTAGAGGGAGTGGAAAAGAAAGAATGGCCACCGGAGGGGTCGGGGAGGGGGGTCGAGTGGAATAGTTAAACGAAGCGGTAGTGGGGCTACGAGAAAGGAACGAAGGGGCTAGGGGACGGATACTACGAGTCCACACGCGTTCTATAGTAAATCGACTATAGTACTATGAGTCAGTCACACCCACAAGCCGGTTGTGGGTTCAAGACCCTCGTTGCGCGCTCGTACACGCTCTGTGTACACCACGACACGCGAGGTCACGCGTACGGACACGCTCGAGAATCTATTGGCCTTGCTACGGCTGAGAGAGAATGATCATCGGTCGCGAGGATGATCCTTGCGTTTCGTCCAATAATCTATATATCATCGGTACTACTAATCCCTTTTTCACAGGGCAAGGGATATCAATGACCGAAAAGATATATATTTAGCAAAGTTTTCTCGAATCGACGATTTTTCCTTGCTGCATATCTTTTCTCATGGATTATATTTTTCATTTTTTTTTTCATTTTTGTTTTTCTCTCCCGTTGCATTTCAGTCGGGTGAATGTTGGATACAGAGAGTAGACACGGTACTGGGCTGGTTCAGGGACCGACAAGGGACCCTTGGCTCACGATGGATTACTACCTCGGTACGGACAGTCTCTCGTTGCAAGAGATGCTCGATGTCGACATCAAATGCGAGATCGAGGGCGTTATCGGTGGTCACACAGAGCTGGGCTTTAATTTCACCGACATGTCCGGCTTAGAGATGGACGACGACCCTATAGGATGCCAGAACGATCTGAGCGGATGGTTCGGCTCTACAAGTTTACTCAATGGGAACAGCAACAGTTCAAACAGGTTTCTTTTTTCATATCTGACACGCGAATCGTGGAATATTCTTATAATCCGATCGTGCTGTACGTTTCCCTATGACTTACTAGATTCCTTCGTTTCAGTAATTTCAACCTTGACCTCAGCGGAAGCGACGCGGCCTCCATTATGGTGAACCCTAACTCGGTAATGCCTCACATAGCGATTCGCAGTCCGACTCCGAACAACGGCAGGAGGCACTTCTCGTTTTCACCGAAGAAGGACGTGAAAGAGGAGAAGATCGACGTTGAAGAGGAGGAGGCGGAGAACGAGGGCAGCAGTTACACGGAGAACGAGAACGAAAACGAGAATGAGAACGACAATGATAACGAGAACGAGCAGGAGAACGAAGCGGAGAACGATACAGAAACGGAACAATACGAGAACGATATCACCGAAACAGAAGAGGATTCCGAGGACGAACAGGAAGTCACCTCAAAGTCCGTCACGCCGTGCAAGTCGAAGACGATCTCTATATCAGCGGTGAAAACAACCTCCCCTCAGTTCACCAAGGCACAGACCACCCCGAAAATAAACGGGGTGTCAGGGATCAGGGTGCAGAATTTCAAAGTACTGCAGAGTCCAAACCAGACGCCGCAGCACGTGCGGAAGCAAATCTATAACAACAATGTACACGTGAGCCCGGGGGCAGCCACCACGGTGACTACAATGAAAAGGGAGAAAGAGTTCGATCTCTCCGACTACGACGATAAACCGTACCCTAAACCAGCTTACTCTTACTCCTGTCTCATTGCGATGGCGTTGAAAAACAGTCAGACGGGTTCTCTGCCGGTCTCTGAGATCTATAACTTTATGTGGTAAGTTTCGATAAATGTATCTCCTCGATAGGAATAATTTCCCCTATCTTTTAACAGATGGGGGATGTTTAGAAAAAAAATGGTGGAAAGAAAAGGGAGAAACCGGTGCGAATGAATCGAAGCGCGATTAACATTTTTTACACACAGACACACACACACGCGCGCGTATGCAACGTACACAATAGAATAAATTCCTATTTGACAAACGACGTGTCGCCGACCGCTTATTTTCGACCATTTGGCCGGAAGGATAAGGGCTGGTCGAAGCCCTCCGATGGGCTGCTTAGTCCACGAGGGGAGAAAGTATTGTCCTTCCTCCTTTATTGCCGGGTTACATAAGGGGGAATGGCTGCTGCCATTTTGTATGGGGGGACCCTTGGAGCACCAGGTGTGCGCTAGGGGTACAGCCCCATAGAAAATGCGGGGCTCGTTCTTTTGTTTAACTAACTTGCGCGTCTGCTCCAATGCGTCGTTGCCACAGTCGATATTCAAACACCAGTTTTTCTTCTTTTCTCGATATTTCATTAAATATACATATACGTATACGTGTGATAGTGTTGAAAAATTACAGTTAATTCATACGTACGATTATATTTCAGTGAGCACTTTCCATATTTCAAAACCGCACCGAATGGCTGGAAGAATTCAGTTAGGCATAATTTATCGTTGAACAAGTGCTTCGAGAAGATCGAGAAGCCTGCAGGAAATGGGAATCAGAGGAAAGGTTGTCTGTGGGCTATCAATCCGGCCAAAGTGGCTAAGATGGATGAGGAGGTACAAAAGTGGTCCAGGAAGGATCCTCTAGCTATTAAGAAAGCAATGATATATCCAGACCACTTGGAGCTCCTCGAGAGAGGTGAAATGAAGTACGCGGGCAGCGGTGACGTGTCTGAAGAAACGGAAAGTTCAGGAGACGAGGCGGTTGAAGAAAGTACGACGTACGAAGAATCTATTCACGGTCACATAGCTGCAAACTCTGTGACAGACAGTTACGACGAGAGCAGCCAAGATTGCGATATAGATATTCACGATCATCTGTACGATGAAGTCGACATAGAGGACAACAAGGAATCGTTGCACATGCAGCTGAACATCTCGAAGCAAGAACCATTTGGATACGAGCTCAGTCCGAGTACAAAAAGGCAAAAGACATTAACCGGTGCGATACAAGGGAATTATGTGTATCAACCTGTAACTACTTCACGAAGAAAAACACCCATCTTCCTGCGAGCTGGCACAGGAAACAGCTCTTTTCTTAAGATCGATTAAGTTTAGTTTTATCATCTAATTGCAAATTCCTAATTTTATACGTATCTGTAGGCATAGATAAATCGACAAGTACACGAGAGCGTATGATAAGAGTAATGCCTCGGGGAAAGTATTTGATACGTAGGAAATATTCCTAGTTCCTAGTCTAGCTTTTCTCACGTAACCCTGTTATTCTGTTCTATATATCGTGTTTTCATTTACCTATGAAAAATAATAAATCTACATAAGTAAATGGGAACGGATTATGATAGAATGACAGAGTTCAAAGGTGGACAAGCGTAAAGGACTCTTGTACCATGAGAATGACTAAAGGAATTATCGAGAAGCCCTACGATCTAAAGAATTTATTTTATAAGTCGCGCTTTTTTCTATTTTTCTACGAGTATTAGATTATGCAATTATGCGAACGTCGCGTAATTTTTACATCAAGACTCCTGGCTTCTAGGTAATTCTCCGGGTCAATGGTACACGAGCCCCTTAACAAGATATACAAAAGACATTCGTTTTATTTGCATTTTATTTTCATTCTGTAAATTGTGCATTTCAAATTTATGGAAGTATACCGTAGATTTTCTTTCTTATTCACTGACTATACACATACACGCATATGTCAGTTGTTGCTTTTATTTTCGATCGTAATTGCTTTTAATCTTGGAATTTTCTGATTCACCGAAATCTATTCGGCTACCTAAAAACGAAGGAATATTTCTGTGTTAAATATTTTTTACGACAGCCATCGATAACAATGTACCATTCATCACAATCATAAAAGTAAGTCCGAATTGTCAGACTTTTTTAATCGACACGCGAAGTAGGTACGAAGAAGCAGGTATCTAGTTTTCTTTCGAGTAATTTTTTATACGCAGTTGTAAGTACCCATGACGGCTCCGAGCGGGTAGAGGCAAAAGAAACGGAGAAAAAAAAAGTAATAAACATAAAACGTTAGGTAACAGTGTAGATCTCTAAGTATTTTGGTCAGCAAGTGGCCAGACTGATGTATTATACTTTTTTATACATTGCTGGACTAAGTAATAACTGTAAATTTTTACGCGATTGTATACCTGACAGATATGAAGTTACTTAGATTCGCATAACCAAGTAGAGTACAAAGACGAGACAGCTATAGGAGGATTTGGATCTGTAAAAATTTTGTAGCATATGTAGAAACAGTTGGGAATTCGTATACCTGATTTAGTATTTTAAGTTCCCGACGAAATCTCGTGTTTTTTTTTTTTATTTCTCTTTCATCTCATTCATTGCTTCTTTAATTAATTTTTCGTTTAATTTAAGCGTAGCATTGAAACGTTCCTCGATATATTCAGTTTTAGGCCAGTGGAACTAGGTAACTTTCACGTCGAGCGTGTAATTATTTTTTTTCTTCTTTTAAACAGTGACTATACATGTATATTTTTAGTCATTCGTCTCGAGAAAGAAACACAAAAGAAAAAAAGAAAAGGAAAAAGGACTACTTAATTTTGCTCGTTTTTTCTTTTTGTACAAATAAAGCACAAAACGTTCTCCCAGTATGATGGTTTATTAAGTGCTACGTGCGAGTCACTAAAATCCGAAAATGTGTTACTATTGAATGACACACCGGAGAAAGTTAGACAGAGTCGAGTACAAAGTATGTTCGAAGACCGACAATTTTTTCAGACGTTTTTCCATATAGCATAAAAATATTAACAAAACGCGCCTCAAAGCACTGTACGATAATTGTAAATAAGCGCTAGATGGACTTACTTCAGTGTAACTTAACATTATAATATGTACACTAAATACGACTCTTCTATGTTTATCTCGGGTGTGACTTGTTTTTTTATACTTTTTTTTCTCTTTTTTTTATATTTCTTTGCATTTATATAAAAAAAAAGAAGCAACATATTCTAAACGAAAAGTAGAAAAGCTGACGAGTTTAATTCTTACATTGGAACGTTCGAGGTAGATTCGATCGAAACACACGTGTAAATACCGAAGAAGCAACCATTCGTCTTTTTACAAACTAGTTTTACACAAGTACAGTAGCTTCGTCTCTCACGAGGACGTTGTAGGATGTTGCTTTAAGGTGTACAAAGGCTACCTTTCCTTCTTTAAGAAAAGTGTAGAATAGTGGGGGGGAAGCGCATGAAATAAGAGAAAAGAAATCGAGACATGGGACCAAGTGTATTAGAGTTTATCTAAGTTTATATTTAACTTGTATGTATTTCCTTTCTGTTGACTGTCTATAAGATTTTGTTTAACAAGCATATTTTTGTACAGTCGCTGTATATACTTTTCCTTTCCGTTTCTAATAAATGATCAATGAATATTTCGATCGAACTACACTGACTTTATAAGAGCACGAACTTCTTGTAAAAACAGAAAAAAGAAAAAAAGTATAGATGCTAAATATGTAAGTTTTAAATCTAATATTAGGAATATTTACAATGTAGATCACTTTGTTTCTCCATAAGCTGTGGTGGCACTTTAATTCGAACAAAAATCGAATTATTTTGTTAATTTAGCAAGATCATCTAATTTAAGTATCTATTAATTGAATGTTTTATCTGATCTCAGCAAAAGGTCATTCTGAAAAATAACTCTCGGCTCGTGTACACCTTGAAGATATATCATAATAACGATGAATGTATTTTTTTAATGCATTTTACGTGATACGTGCTGCGGGAATCGAATGGTAAATCGAGGCGTGTGCATCTGTCATTTTTGAGGCTGTTTGTAACTGAAAAACATTTTGTACGATTATAGTAATCACCTTCAATAACAAAATCTACATTTTGGGAATCTTAGTATTACTGTAAAAGTATTCTCATTAATTGTAAGAAGCTATGCGCAACTATGAGTTTTTTAATGTATCATGAGAGTGTTCGATGTTTTCAAACTAAAAATTCGAAATTAAATTTGTTATCACTATATAAACAAAAAAAAATTCAAAAGCAATAATTAAAAGTTCCAATGAGGCGTAAGATTAAAACTTGATAAGCTTTTATTTATTCTTTGGTCAGACTTCAGCTGACAATATTAATTGTTCTTATGATACAAAATGAATAAAAGTACTTTGTGAAACGAGACGGATTAATACTCGTGCTAGAAAAATGATGTTTGAGCATCTTCGAATGTGAGGAGTGATTTTCATTGAAATTTTTATTCTACTGCCTTTTTGTGTGATCGATGAGAAATGCATATTAAAAATGTCACTGCCAACCAGTGGTTTAAGCATTACAGAATCTTTGCCACTGTTTTCAAAAGATCTCCTTGTGCGATTAATGTTAATTATACACGATGTATTAGGTTTGGTTGAATTATTAATTTGTTAAGTTCTTTCACGTGTGGCAGAAAAGTATTATGACTCAACAGCTGTGAAACAGATTCATCAAAAATGTTTCTTCAGTATAAGCTGACTTGTTTAAACAGCTGGAGGATGAAAAGTAAATTTTAAGGTTAAGACACGAGACGAACACTGTAAATAAATACATACATACATACATACATAGCTACAATTAGTGTCCATTGTGATGAATATATTGATCCAATTTATTAATTGAACATTCAACTGTGCAGGATCAGCATTCCATTTGAAGAAACTTTTAACCCTTTATTTTCTACAGAGAAGGATTTTAGCGTTATTAAAAATTTCACAATCTTTCTTAAAGATCTGCGAATCAGATATTTCTTTTTATTTTTCTATGGAATATGAAGCGAAGAAAGGGGACAGAATGTAGCAAGATCTTTTATCTGTGAAATTATTTATAAATAAAGGGTTAAATTCCTGCAAATGATTGTATTTGTAATCCACGATAGAATTAATTAAGGGATCGTATGATAAGAAAGTAGTGTAGCTTTTGTACCTGTTTGTAATATTTCTATACGATATTATTAATGTATGTAACATTCGTGTAGATGCAGCAGAGTAATTTGTAACAATAATGTATATGTGCAATGAGAAGTTTCAGTAATAAAATGTTGAGAAATGTATCGCTTCGTAATTATTATCTCGTTCAATAATTGAATAAAAATGAAACCCAGTCTTTCACTGAAAACTACTTTCGACTGAATTTGGACTAAAAATTGCTAACGGTTGAAAATCATAGAATGTGCTATTGCACAGGGTGTACCACTTAACTTTATCACCTGAAATATTTCTGTTGTAATTAAAATTTCGTAAAAATAATTCCTACAAAAGTTGCATAGCTTCATGGAGGCCGGTGTATAATAAATGTTCCTTTAAATGGCATGCTATATTGTATTTATTTATTTATGATAGCTACTTTTAAGACCAATTCAACGACCTATAACACTAAACCCTTCAACATCAGCGAAGATCGTATAAACAAAGTTTTCTGTTTAACTTGCAGTGCCGCTACGAAGTAACATTCTGCTTAATCTCCAATTTTTTAGGACGTTTCACTTGTTTATCTACATGTGGCAAGTGTCATAGATATTTTTCATTACGTTTAAAAATTCAAAGGAGATGTTCAAAATTCACTTGAACACGACCGTTCACTTTGTTTATACGACCATCGTTGTGGTCTTCTCCCCCGCACAGCTACGATTTCTAGTGAAAATTAATTATTCCGGAAATGGACACTTTTGCTCTTTTCGCAGGAGGATATAGGTGTCGCTATACGGTGAGCATTGCCCACGCCATCTCGTGTTTGGTCGTCGCTCTACTAGGCACACGGAATGTACAAGAAGGTATTAGACAAAGAGCGACCTATTTTGCAAAGAGGATAGAGAAAAACCGTTTCCTATTGGCTGAGCCGCAACTACGCTCCGCCCTACTGTAAATAAATTGACTTAAAGGAAAATTACTAATTACTCAATATCTACAGTGAATTTGGTCACTTTTAAAGTTATATCACAAAGTTAATGTCCCCCTTGAAATCATGCAACTTTCGGTTTATACACTATTTCGCATAGCGAATAGTTTACAAGCAATTTCAGGTCGTCAAGTTTGGTGAATCCCCCTGTATATATAGTCACGTGATCTTTCACTAAATTATACCCTTTAGCGAACAATTTGCTACATACTTTTCACACCTGTATCTCGAAGGTCACTTCTGTAACTTCTTTCACGTACAACTTTTATTCGTATATTGTTTATAGTTCAAGAGTTATTGCATATATGTACTGGAGAGAGTACTCCGCGAGAAATCGCACCGGGAAATCACGCAGTTTTTAATTGAAAGAGTTTAATTTGGGGGTTCTAAGGAAGATCAGTGGGACTGCCTTACTTAGTCTGCTGTCAGCGTTCAAAGCAGAAGGATCGAGAGTATCGTCGAGAACATTATTAGAAATGAAGCATTATCAGGTCAGTTGATTTTTAAAACAGAAATTCTGTGAATTTTTTGCTTTTAATAATAGTTAATGTAAATTAGAGCATAATTGCATGTAATAAGTAGTTTAAAATTGTTACTTGTAATAAATGTTTATTTGCTTTAACATTACTAGTAATGTAAATAATAAAGTTTTTGGTTTATTTTTAAGTACTTTAATTCTAGAATACTTAGTGTTTCTTCTTAAATAACAATTTAAATGGTAGTTTATAATTATTGGAAGTATTAAATAAATTTGTTACATGATTAAACTAAATAAAACAGTTAATTTAATAATTTCGCATTGAATTAACATTTGCATATCGTAGATTAGTTAGAAATTGTTTATAACTTTTATTGAAAATTTTAAAGTTAATGTTCTTGTTGTGTGAATTACAGATTAAATTTTCAGGCCACGACAGAAATCAAAAAAAGGACTCAATATCGAGAAAAATGAATTATTTATTGTAATATAACTGTACAAAATGTATTTTATAAAAGGTTACAATATACCAGTATTGTTTTACAGCATTTTACAGTCTATTCATTTCTCTCTTACACACCTCACTCATTTTCTTTTGCAAAATATTTATTCTTTAAATAATGTTTCAAAACTTCGAAAATTACGCCGAAATAGCGTCGAGAATGTCAATCTGGTCGTGGTTCGACCAATAGCAAACGGTTTTTCTCTTTTTTCCTGATATATAGTGTGTTCTTTATCTAATACCTCCTTGCACTTTCATCTATGTTCCCCTAGTAAGAAGCCGTTAGTTCGCGCAGCCAAACACGAAATGACATTGGCGCCACTCGCGAAACTTCTATTCTTGTCTAACTCAGAGAAATGTGTCCTCTCTCTTTGTCTAATGTCTTCGGCGTTTTTATCTTTGTTTAACTTATTATCACATATTAAGAATATGGCTATCCTTGTTTAATTGGTGGACAGAATTCAGAATACAGAAACACTTCTGGTATAAGAAAAACATTGATTGTAATCAAAATGCAGTAATAAGTTTGCTGTGTATTAGTTGATTCTTACTCCAATTTAAGTGGATTTTTATAAAAATTGCTGCATTTGTAGATCTTCTGCATGCAGTAAGAGAGAGCGTAATCGATGAATATTATTTATTAGAACGAAGGATATTTTATTATAAAAATTGCACCTATTTCAACTAAAAATATTCTGATGTAGAAGCTCCAATTTCCAAAGTATCTTATTTATGATGACAATGGAAGTAAAATAACATATTAATTTTGTTAAAAATGTTTCAAAGATATGCAAAATTTTTGGTCATACAACTATCAAACTAATATTGAAATATTAGCCCAGTAAACATTTAAAAATCATAAATATAATTTATGGAGATACTAATATTTTTATTTTTCTAATTATTCTTCTGTAAGTGTGTGTCCACTCTCAGTAAACATATGTATGCCTCTCATAATTTCACACAATTGTCCGAAAGTCATTCTCTTCCTTCGCATTTTGCTTGTGACAGAAAGCAAGTGTGATTAGATAAATATTGAAGGAACTAAAATTATTTTTCTCTACGAATGTTATTTTTGATATGTATTATTTAGAAAGATATTTATCCTTTTACACTATAATTTCTCTCTGGTAAGTATAAACTTATCATTTCTGACAAGTATACTTTTCATACGAAGCTTCTCTCTTTGATCGTCGGTCGAATACTGACTATCCTATATCTATCTTATACGTCGTCTGTGGTATTACATGCAAAGAACATTGCTAACACTACATCAGATCGCGATTTCCCCCGTGAAGTGTGGCGGAGACCGAAACAGCTGTTCTGCTGCTGTATGGTTGCTTTGACAGAGGGATCGAAGGATAAAGCGAATGTTTTATCTAAATTTAACTCTTTTAAATGATATCGCGAATATTCCGTGGCGAAAATGAGAATGTCGCAGTCAAGAGAAAACGGCAAATTGACACCTTGAAAATTTTTAATGACAAGTAAGGAGATTTTCATTTGTAACCTCATCTGCCTAACCTTATTCATATTAACCTGTCTACATGTTTAACATTTATTAATTGCATTTTTTCTTTTTCCAACGTAAAATGCTGCATTTTATAATTGTTACGTGTAGAAGAAAGTTCAAGTTTCTATTAAACTTATTTACTTAAAATAAATTCGCTGCTAAGCCCTTATTCGCAATCTGCGCGTCTGTCATGTAAGAATTAATGATACCATCATCTTTGGTACACGCCCAGTTTATCAAAAACAATTTTAAGTTTTCTGCTTTAATATTTTACGTTTCTCAATATTGTTCACCAAGGTCATTTTTGAGAATGTGCAATTGTGTGTGTCACATTGCCTTAATTGTTGTACATGACTCATGTTGCAGTGTAGTAGAATTAAGAGAAGATGTGGAGTATCAGGTACAATTCAATGCTGGGGAAAGGAGAATGGCTATTATGGTTTCTTTATCACCAGAGTTTCCGTTGGAAAAGCCAGCACTTAGGGTTTCTCCACCTGTGAACCATCCTTGGTGCAATGAACACAGCGAAATCACAAGCGCACCAGGGCTACTTAATGTAAGATTATTTGCGTGAATAGCTTTATTTATTAGAATCATAAAGATCATTTGGTTTTGCATGTCAGTTTACAGTGCACAGTGATCTTGGTCGTGTTGTTCAAGCTATCATTAGAGAATTTAGTAAAAACCCTCCACAGTTATTAGAAGACATCTCTCCTGGATCTGTGAAATCACATAGAGGTACAGATGTTTTTGAAATATGTATAACAGGAGAAAGCAAAGTATTCATTTTTTCCAATATGAATTACAGATTTACAAGGAAGAAATTCACCATCTTACTCCTTGCAACAATATCAGGAAATTCCATCTACATCGTTCAACTCTTACTACACCGCGCAATATCCGCAGTTTTCATCTGCCAGTGCAAACACTTGCATTTATAATTACAATCACACGAATTCAAGTACCGCATATGTGACGGACAGCCATACGAATTTCGGTTCTCCATCGCAACATTCGGCGTACCTCACGGGTTCAAGAAGTAGTTCGCTTCATAATGCAGACCCGACAAGGTACAATTCTAATCAGCATGGAACATACTTGAATTCGCACTACGTAAACGCGAATTACCATCAACAATCATTGAATCAAACGCAATCGAAGATTCGCCAGAGCGTAGAGTTTCCAGATTTAAATAATTTAACTACTGAGGAATTGAAACTGCTTAGCGAAGATGAAGACAGATTAGACGAATTCCTAAATAAACATTCCGAGTTAAAAGACATTAACACGACTATTGATGGTACTATAGATTGGGTCCAAAAAACTGCCGGTAAGATTGCTTTCAACGAAACATTACAATTCTATTTTGTTTTGAAGATTATCCACTCTTTTTCGCTCATTTTTTTTAGAGGCTAATGTAGCCAAAGAACCCGAGCTTAGAGAATTGCAGTCTAACGTAGTGAATAAAGTACAGACTGTCGCTGCACTGAAGGCCAGATACGATCAGTTAATACAACGATACAACAAGTTGTCTGAAGTATTTACTCCGGATCACATAAAGGAGTGTTTAAGGAAAGCGGCGGATGAAAGTCACGAAGAAAGTGAGAGAATCGCTGAGGACTTCTTGAATAGGAAAATCGATGTCGAACGTTTTCTGAGCACGTATATTGAGTGTAGGAAGTTAGGTCAAGCGAGAAGAACTAAAGAGGAAAAGTTAGCACATCAATTAAACGAGCTGAAACGGGCCGGTTATTAAAATAATGTATGATCTTACCTTTTTCTATGAATCGAACAAACTGTAAATAATGCCTAGTTAAATTAAACGATACTGTGAATTTTAATAGTATTCGTGTTTATCAAATATCTATACGGCAAAAATACTCGCTGGCTGAGAACATTTTTATAACGTATTACATACTACGTTGCGTCATTGCTTGTTATACCTACGCTGCGTCGAAATTAATTAGATTTGTGTGGTATTCCGAATGAAAAATAATCGTAGAGCACCATGTGTGCGAAAGCTATTTGCAAGAAGAAATTATTAAGTATGTGTATATAAAGTTATTAAAAAACGAAGAAAAAAACCAAAGGCGCTGGTTCGAACCGAAAGAAACTACGTAATACTTGAATTAATTTTAAATGCACTTATCTTTTCATACAGAAAGTGTCTTTAAATGAATTTAAATATGCTGCTATTGCGCTGTGACATACTGCAATGCATCGATATATCACACTGATGAGGCACTTTTTTTTACTATGTAAATAAATGTGCGGGAATAATAATTAAATCGATTTTTCAAAGTTTGCTATTCAGTAATGTTAATCTAATTACTTATCCTACGGATGTTCCTAATATTGTAACATACTGAAATTGTATAGATATGTGAAGTCTGAAATGAGAAAATGTTTTTTTTTAAACAGTGCGGCGTGTGTAATCCCACTAGAATATTCGTTACCTTATTATTTAAGAACACAGCTTAAATTTCGGTAAAAGAGATAAGGTTTCGCGTTGAATGATATAAGTTAAAATGTGAAAATAATTATGTAGAAATCGTAAGCTGTAAATAACCTAAGGAAACAAGTTTTTAATAAAAAAAAGAAAAAAGAGAAGTAATACGTTCAACCCAATTTGTCAACGATCACATCATAATATTATCAAGATGACATAAATACAAATGCAAATGCAACTTTTTATTTCCATATAAACACTTACGATTACTAACTGTTCCGCAGTTGTATTCTTCCTATATTAGAAAAATAACATCAATAGGGGAATATTATTCTCTTAAAATGCATAGTTATCTCACTTCGCGGTTTAAATTTCTAACTATCATTGCTATCTTATTATACATATACACGTATGAGAACACATTTTTCCCTAACGTGATGATAGTACATATTTTTTTTTAAAATCATCATTGAGAATGCCCTATGATTCGACGCGTTGATCAAGGATCGACAAAGGAAATCATAATGTATCGAGTTCCACTAGTGACACGAAGTCCTTCGTGATAATGAGTCAGTCTTCCAGGATGCATTAACATCCAACCTGGTTTTGTGTCCGTGACGGAACAGTTATACCGAATGAATCGACAACCTCCACCTTCGTAATCTACTCCTGCTCTATTTAAGGCGATGTTGACCGTATAAGTTGAACTGTCATGGTGTGGCTTCAACGATGGTTGCTCGTCTGGACGATACCTTACGACGAAATTCATGAGCGCACGAGGTGGCTGTAAATTTCAATAAATGATTATATTAATTTTTCATAAATACATTACTCAAAACAATACTAAATGTTTCTTTTTCCTTTTTTTCGTTTATAGTTGACTATATACAGCTATGGTAAACTTCACAATAAAGAAACGAAGTTGGGAAAAATAATGGGAATACAAAGCCTATAGACAGCTGCAGTGGAATTGTAGAATTGAAGTTTGTAATTTGAAATCAGTGCAACAGTACATCGATTTATGAAAGAAAGTGTACGAAAATGTGCAATCAGTGAAAAGGAATTCCCATATCTCCACAAATTGTTGTTTTTTAATAATTCTTACGTTCGCTAAATAGCCTATAAAAACATGCTCCTGCAAAGGGCGGACATATTCGTAAAGAAACTTTAACCAAGAATCATGGAGGTTGACTTGTCTCATATGAATATCTCGCGTTGGTACGGCTTCGTATCCGCCTTCAATACGTGAATCCTAGAAACGATTAATACATGCATTAAAAAACTAAATATCTTACATCGTGATAATATCCAGTGAATACGAGTTCCTGTAGAGGCCTAGCGTACTCCTTTAAAAAGTACAGCCACTGTGACTCATACTTTACTTGATTCATATGAATATCACGGGTTGGTACGTTTTCGTAACCACCCGTTAATCTTGGATCCTGTCAGCAAAATTATTCAATTACTATATAAAAAATTACAAACATTTTCATAACCTTTGATTCCTCTGCAGATTATAAAAAATTATCTAAAGATTTTATTTTATATTACTATTATGGAAGTAATAATTACTATTATAAAAATTATGAATTATCATACATGATTCGATCCATCCGACCATCTTCCATATTTTTCCATAATGTCTACCAATTCTTTGGTAAATCTCTCATTTACTACAGGGAACCAGTACACATCGGGACAAGGCTGGAAAAAATATGTAATAATTCATTCGTTGAAGATTACAAATCTAAAAAGAATAATTGATATTCTTACTTGGATCTGAGTTCGATTAGGATTAAAGTTTTCCGAATAGTTTTCGTGTATGTATCTTTTTTCCCAGTCCAATTTATTGTCCATAATTTGATACAAGTCCGGATGAAGCATCGTGATATCGTAACTTTCTGGATTAACGAGGTGTCCGAAATCAAGTCTATTGCTGACATACATGAAGATGAATCGTTCCCTGTTAGCATGCGCGAAAGCCATCTCTGTGTCTAAATCGCCTTCCAAATAGGATGGACGAGTCTCCTTGTTGCTAATTAGCGTGGCATTAATTAAGTAACAGCTACTGATGAACGGTACATTCCATAGTCCCCTAGGACAATGTAATATTTGGTCAGAAATATAAATTGTTTTTTGTAACGATTTAAAATCATCATTAATATCTTTCCCTTTATAGTGTGGTAATTACTGTAACGATGGTATATCAACTGAACTAAAATGAAATCGATTTAGCAAATAACAACACGTGTGTATCTGATCAGTCTGCTATTCTCAAGAGCCCTCGAGGCTAGAAAAGAGGCAGACGCAAAATAATACGGGGGGTCAGCATACTTGTTTGTTAAACTCGCGAGACAATGTTGTTTTTCAGAGGTCATCGCTTAAATATTTTGTAAGGTAATCACTCTGATGTCATGATTGGCCGATGAATGCACTGGCAATGGGTTATGCATAATTATCCAATTGAGATTCATAACTCTGTCACTAGTGACGACATGCCCATAGAGCATAGTACATTCATATTTTAGGCTGTAGGGACAGGCGGAGCCCAAAGATTCGGCTTGGCCACTTGTCCAAAATAACGTCTCAGAGTAGTTGGTAAGCACTTGAGGATTGTGTCTCTTTAACACTTAACTTTTCAGTGAAGTTTAACCATTACACGTATTAGTGTACTGCGAAACTTGTATAAAAACATTTCAAGTGTTACAATTCGAAGTTAGAATAATTAAAACTGCTTAGGAGATAAAGTACATCCAAGTGGATAGGTTTTATGTAAAGTGTACGAACGTTGTTCAAAGAAATTGAGAAGTTTATAATCGCGAGAGCAAATGACGAGATCTCAAATATTGTGCCTGTTCTTTTTTACCACTTTGTTGGTAAGCACAGACGCGGCAAAAGGTGGGGGAGGCAGAGGAGCTGGCAGACGTGGTGGCGGGAGAGTGTACAAGTCCCGAATGCCTATTCTCATTCCTCACAGAAATCCTGCCAGCGCCAATTACTATGAAAATAAAGATGTGAGTATAAACATCATCCGACAATCGGTTTAAAACGCCATGTATGTATAACAACACAGAGGAATCATTCGAATAACGTACTTCGAAAATTGATAGGGTGCGAAGATAGTGAAAGCTTCACACTTTGAGTTAGACTACATGCTGGGGAGAAAGATCACTTTTTTTTGCATGGCTACTGGATTTCCAAGGCCTGAGATCACCTGGTTGAAAGATGGAATTGAATTGTATCAACACAAATTCTTTCAGGTATTCCCCTATCATTTGGGGAATATATTGTATTATACAATGGGACTTCCTATTATTTACAATATACAATATTTTCAGGTACACGAGTGGCCTGTTGGTAATGACACGTTAAAATCGAAAATGGAAATTGACCCTGCCACGCAGAAAGATGCGGGATATTACGAGTGTCAAGCGGATAATCAATATGCGGTTGATCGTCGTGGCTTCAGAACAGATTACGTCATGATCTCTTATTGAAAAATCAGTACTTTTTTTCTTAATTGCAATAGTGTAATTCCGTCACTGTCTAACTTACTGTAATAGTACAAAAGTTAATTATAAGTAGCAAGATAAATTTTGTACAACTTCGAATCTTCGTTAAATTTTATATTTTTAATAACAACCAAAAGCACAACATTTATAAAAAGAAAATGAAAAAGGTAATAAAAGAAGAATATGGCACATTTCGCTGTTGTCTTTGACGTACATAAACACTATCAATTGTTAAGAATTTGAACGCATAAAGGTGCACTTGGAAATTTAGAGTTCCCCCAGCACTTGTTCATTAAATCGCAATTGACTGTTACAAGGGTGGTACACGTCTATAGCGTGAACCATAAAACGTGAAAATAGCACAGCATCGTAAATTTATCTAGTGAATTATCAATTCATTTACGAGTTAAATGAAAAGATTTCTGTACCCTGACACCTTGCGCGACACCGATACATTTAATTCTGTCTTATTTGGGCTAATTTGTGAACCGGTGTTTTATAGAATTAGTAATGAAGTTGAGACATTTAGAATTTAATAATGACCGAGTTGCAATAGGTGTCGAAGGAATAAAATTACACGACACACGTACGTGCAGTACACGTAGCTGAACAATATCTGCCTATACGTCTGTAATAGATAGGAGAGAACACTAGGGGAGTAATGAGTAGGTGGCTGTCAGTTACATCGGAGTTCCGTGTGATCATCGTACGTTGCGTGCACTCGGAGAATATTTTTTAACGCGACATTTCAACGCAGACGAAATATCTAACTTCTTTAATTCTCTTTTTCACGAGTCTAAAATTTCTAGTTGCTTTTCTCAGACCGTCATGCCACGCTCTATGGTGATGCTTTTTCTGTTAACTATATTGCTGCTAAATAGCCAGGAGATTCTTGGACGAAGAGGACGAGGCAGAAGTAAAGCCAGATCTCGAGTTCAAATAGGATTACCCATCACTGGAAAGTATCGTGATCCAGAAAGTGATCAATATTACAACAACCATAATGTATGTAGATCAAATTTAAACGAAGTCGATCAAAGAAGCCTCATTATCAGCTTTTATTTATAAATCGCTCTTCCCAACATTTTTTTACTCAGGGAGCGAAGATACTATTAGCTTCACACTTCGATTTGGAGTACGTCTTAGGGCACAAAATTGCTTTCCTCTGCATCGCACGTGGAAACCCACGGCCACACATCACATGGTTCAAGGATGGTGCTGAGATATACACGCATCTTTATCTACATGTCGGTATACTTTATTCTACTTGCGATAATTGGAGATGGAACTACATAATGACAGAAATTTCTTATGTAAAGGTGCATGAATGGCAAATCGGAACGGATAAAGTGAAATCAAAGCTGGAAATAGATCCTGCGACACAGATGGATGCTGGAGTTTACGAATGTACAGCCGATAATAAGTATAGTATTGATCGGAGATCCTTCAAGACTGACTTTTCCATTGCTTTCGATTAGATTTACATTCTTTTAAGTAGTTTGATAGTTAGATATATGATATTGTCTAAACCATTAGCGTAATAAAAAACAAAAAAGAAGCATGGAATTGTTCTCTAGAAGCATACTTTCTGTACATATAACATGGTTGGACAATAAATGCAGATTATTGCGTTAAAAATTCTTATTATTTACCTGCGCTCATTCTTCACGATTTCCATATAATCGAAGCTTCGAGCATAGAATCCATCGTCCATTATTGCTCCCCAGTAATTGCTCCACATTTTATAGGGTCTGACTAGTAATGGTGCAACGATTCCTCGTTGCTGCTCTACCAGAAGCTTCAAAGTATACTCGTTATCCAGATGAGAAATCGAATCGACGGAAAAATATCCAGAGCATTCTTTCAACAAACAGTAGTCCCTGAGAAGTAATTTTTCTCTTCAGATATAAAGAAACATACTCCGAAACAAATAATCGAATTGAATTCCTTCCTTTTTTTTTAAACGTACATGGCTAAGTTTCTTGCATCAACTTCATTCACAGAGTCGCTGGGAGCGACTAGCTTACTGCTCTTATATCGCTTTGCTACTTTTTCCATAAAGCTGTTGACTGTATCTTGATGATACTCCACGTTGTTATGAATAAACAAATGCAACCTCGATTCTGGATAAATTTGCTGATATATTGTCATCAAAAATTCGTTTAAGAAAGGAGTTGGTCGTTCGATGAATATAGCGATTAATATAATTGGATATGTGTCTGGTTTTGTTTTATCCAATTCTATCGTGCCTTCCCAACACGTTATGCATCCTTCTTCAGGATTCCATGCATTGGCCAAATAATTACCCAAGGAATTCAACGATAGCTTACTGTACCCATTACCATGAAGCACCAATGGTTCTGTATTATAAGCAGTATTTAAAAGAGAAGCCTTTTCTCCCTCAAATTTCAGTTCTACATCAGCTGTGAAAGATAAATCCATTAGTTTCATTTGTTCAAACCTATTTTTCTTCTCACTTACATACAGCACCATAGAGATTCTGGAATATTTCAGATTTGTGATCCAACTTAATTTTATGACGTTCCCGCAATTTTTCATCGAGATACGCCAAGGTAAAGAATAATTGATCGTCATCCCGGTTTTTTATTGGAGCATACGTTAAAATCGCATAGACGTCTGAGGCGTAACCCATGAAACCTCCAGAATTTAGAAAACGTTTCCCTCGAGTTACTGAAGGATATTTGGAAGCTAGTGATTTGTCTGGCCAACAAGCTCCTTCTGTAGAGAACAATACTCTAGCATTCATACTCTTGAACTTCTCGACGATTTCGTTCAAACCGCTCAAATATATCACGTCGTAACTGCAATGTAGAAACATTTATTAGTATATCAGTTAAAAATCAAAACGATTTGAAAAACAAATTTATCAAAGAAAAACCTGTCTGTAAATATCACAATTTTTTGCTCATCGTTTTGATACTCTTCCAGAGCTTTCTTTAAAAGATTCACTTTGTATCCTCCTCCTGCACTAGTTCTTATGTTATTACCGCCTAGCCAGGGATCTTTCATACCAAGTACCTTCAAGTTATCGCGGAATCCATAGACGTCGATCGATCTGACATATCGTTTGTAGCCATCGGTTTCGTTCGTGGCGACGGTGTACACGAGTACATCTAAAATTAGAACAAAATTATGAAAAAATGTCGAACAAATTATTACATCTGATTTTTACTGGTCTCTACGTTAGAGGAAAATATTCCTTGGACCGCCGCGCCGTAATTTCAAGCGACGCGCCTGAATTAATTGAAATTCAGAACACAAGCATATAATTCCAAACCTGAAGCGTAATCGGTCGTGCGTAAAAATACAGCACAGTAGATTTTAGAACATGTAATTTTCGAGAATATCAAATATTTGAGAATATAATATTAAATCCTCTTATTTAAAACTACATTAAAACTACGGTATTCAAAGATAAGTTTTTCTCCCATAACGAAGAATACTTGGTTACCGTAGTATCCAAGGGGTTTGTCTATTTCTGGCGGAATAACATCAACATATGGGCTCGGTAGACTGAATAAGAAGAAACCAGGCGTATATATACACACATGTACACGGTTCACATAGCCATTACTTTTTCGACGTGACATCATGTAGTACATATGTATATCGAATGTAATACAAATGAGTCACGTCTTCTCTCAACAGAATCATTGGACGTTCAAGTGTTTCAAGTCTAACGTAATTTTACGTCTAGAAGGCGCGCTCTTATAAAATTTCACACCCCTATTTACCCCTAACACACAGCCGTAAAAGCAGAGAGCTAAATTCACTTTCTTTTTCACGAGGAAAAAGATCCTAATAAATAACTCTCAGTTATAAAAATGTAATGTTTGTATCATACGCTATTATGCATACAAATACGCTGACAGTGCGTGCGTGGGTATGATCTTACGCTTACAATTTCTTCTCTACTTCGAATAACAGAGAAAATATATGAAAGAGGCTGAAATTAATGAGTAAAGAAAAATAAGTGGTGCATGGAGAAAATAAAAGATCAGGAAGAATCTTTGGAATGTCACATACATCCATCTAACCGGAAATGAAAAGATAACGATGCTGCACACGATCTAGTTATTCATTAAACTGAGAGGAATTATAAAAACACTGTTAAGCGTTCCTTTTGCGCACTGAATGCATCGTACTAACTGTAAAACGCGTTCCTTTTTTTCTAATCGGTTACCATGGAAACACGTGCATGCGATCAAAAGCTTCGAAATGGTTGGTTCTTTTGCTGTAACAGAAAAACGCCGTTAAAAGAGGCGTCAAGTTGCACTGTGCAGATTTAAGTATGCTACGTATGCTCGTGTTCAATTACTGTGATGATCTGTCTTTATTGTTCCAATTATTCTTCTAACTATACCATTCATTAATCGAACCGGCAAATATATATATGCAGTGATCGTAACAATTTGTACTTATAATTCGTCATCCTTTCTGTTGCAGATGACATTAATTAATTTATTAATAAATTGGTAAAATGTTTGCGTTCTATAAATAGCATCTAATAACCCCTTCCAATTCTTTTCCGACACGCATTAATTTCAATATCGAAACATGTCGGTAATAAAATAAGGACGATAAAATGGGTCCCTTTTTACTCGACAAAAATTCTTATGTCACGGATAAGAATATCATAATCTCACACACATATGAATGGACTGAAAGAGGTCAACTGTCCTTAGTTAGTTCAGCTTCCTGATAAACGAGATAAAGCAATTTCCAGACGAATCATTTCTATTGTAGATGTTTCATTTCACTATGCAACCAAGAAAAAGGATTCGATGATCGAAAGAAGTAATGATCTTTATGGGGTCAATGCATCGAAAACTTTCCCTGCCAGATGACCACAAAAAAGCAGTAAAAAAGGTTATTATGAAATTTCATTTAGGTATGTAATTACATCAGCATCAAGAACCTATTTTCATAAAAATGTAAATAAGATGGCATGGAAGAGCTTTTAGGAAATTCCAGTGTTATTTCATTTTATATAGAACACCACAGAAATTTCGAAATTATTTACATAGCAAGAGATTCCTTTTAAGTCAAACAATAATCAAAGAATATTAGTAAAAAACTTGGAAAGACCACCAAAAAGCAATGCTATGATATTTGAATTTATTTTTTATAAATATTGAGTACATTTTCACCACCTCCACCAACACCCCTACCCTCCTCCAATTCGGCATTCTTAATTTCATTTATTTTAAATCATTTTTAAATTAATTATTTGATATAAAATCATATTAGCGAGAGGTATTAAGAGTTGTAAAATTGACGATGAACAACAGGGCGGTTAAATAACATTTTTCTCCCTACGTGACTTTTTTTCGAATGAATTCGAATCGATAATGACAAAAACAAAAACAAATAATTTCATGTTATCTTGTCATCATGCAAATCGTTCTAGATATGTATACAAAAATATTAATAAATATATACAATAAATAGCTATCCCTTTTCTCGCCGAACAGAAAGAGCCAGAATGAAACTATTACCGTCTGTATCTGTTGATGGCGGAGACTCGCTGACCACGTGGTATGTCAGAAACAGGCTCCAGAAAAAACAGCATCCAACATTCATTGCACGCATTTCGAACTGAAAAGGACCGCGAATGTCCAGACGAACGTATCAAACGCACTGTTCTGACTAAGGCTAGTCTCGAAGAACGGAAAGCCAGTTCGCCGCTACTCCCACGCTTTTTGAACGAAAGTTACTATCTTCGACAACTATGTTCGCTGTTTGTATCACGTCTGCCGTTTTAAGGAAACGTGACAGAATGCTTGGCGAATATTTTCGATCGAATTATTTACTGATAATTCTTTAAATACTATAAATCAATCTTCAGTATTACAATTGATTAATTAAGATTGAAAATAACACGAATCACAACATACAATTTTAGTACTTGTATCATTCACACTTTAATGTAGATTTAAAATAGAAAAAAAAATTGTATTGTACCTTTCGGATGATAAGGATGTTAAATATGAGATGATAATATTTTATGCGTTAAAAATTATGAAACACTGCACTTGGTGTCGAAATATCATCGATATTTTGAAGATGTCGCTTTACAACCTACCAACTTGAAAAAAATAAAAGTATTCTGAATCATGTTTGCAACATTTCATGAATTATTTAAATATATCATAAGTAATTTCATTGTTGACTTTTTAACGTGATAAAATATAAAATACATTTACTATTACTTCATGCAATTATGTAATGGAATATAACGTCACTCACCTCTGCTACAAGATATGATATTTGCTTCATAATGCTTAAAAGTATTGATCTGTTGCAATAAAATTGTTGGATCATCTTGATGTGACACGCACTCATTCACATCTCGAATCGAACTGAAACAATGTTCTTCAGCTAATGTGTTTATGGCTGCATAACTTAACAATAAAATACCAAATAGCATAATATTTCTTCTATACGTCATGATTTTTGTATATAATAACATTGTACATAATAACTAATAAAAGATGTTATTTTCACCTTATTACAAGCAAATTTTTTAAAGATATATGTAAATAAAATATTGCTATAAATCTAACTGTGATTGATGTCATAGAACTGAATCGATCCAGATAGACAATCGAATTTATAGGAGAAATGGAATTCGAAAGCATGACCGATTACGTTTTTTGCGAGGGTTCGAGTACTGTAACCGCGTATTTTTTGTTTGTATTTTCCACTTCCTGGAACTTTCTGATACTTCTTGTACGAAGAATAATGCAGAATTTTTGGTATTACAAGTGAACAATTGCATTATACAAAAAATTACGCACATGGAATAATAAGGGTCATCGTGTATGTAGAATGTAGGTAATTGAGTTAGGCCGGAGAGCCAAACTAATGCCCAACAAATAAGATTAAGCGTTGATTTAATACAATTACTGGGGCAGCAGTGTAGACGATGCTGAGGCTTCTTTTACATTTTGATAAAAATTTGTTCGCAGTAACCGCACGTCCATCACTATCAGTGTTTCGTTCTCAGTTTCATAGTAGTTTCCAAACAAAGCAACCCTCGACTAGAAAATGGGGAAGGATGATGCGGAGACGGTAGCTCTAAAGAAAGAACTGGAAGATTTAATCAATAAATGCAAGGTTGTACTAACAAAGATTTATAACAAAAAATTGTAATGGAATTTAAGTTTTGATAGCGACTAAAAACTTATTTCATTGCATATAAGGAAGATCAAAAGAAACAACAGGATACAACTTTGGAAGAAACATGCAGCAGTCTAGCAGATGCTCCAAAAGTTAAATTATCTACGAAAAAATTGCTAAAGGGGCATATCAACAAGGTGAATTCGGTGCATTTCAGTGGCGACAGTAGGTCAGTCTCGACCGTTAATTCTTTCATTTGCCCGTGAAATCAACCGTAACAAACGTGTTCTCATTCTTGATTCACTGAGTTGAGTATTGACAAGATTCGGTTATTTTCAGGCATTGCGTGACAGGTTCTTTAGACGGAAAATTAATCATTTGGGACTCATGGACCGGAAACAAGGTTCAGGTGATTCCATTACGCTCAGCGTGGGTGATGTCAGTAGCTTTTGCACCGTCCGGAAATTTTGTTGCTTGCGGTGGTATGGACAATATGTGCACTGTCTACGATGTGAACAATCGTGATGCCACAGGATCGGCCAAAATAGTCCGAGAGTTATTAGGATACGAAGGATTCCTTTCCTCCTGCAGATTCTTGGAAGATAAGAAGATTATCACTGGATCTGGTGATATGAAAATGTATTCGCTTCTGAAATCAATGATAGATAATATGTAGTTACTTTTGCTTGATAGTTGTTTCATAATTGCTTTAATGCCCTTTTAGCTGTATATGGGATTTAGAAGCGAACAAGAAAACGGCAGATTTCCCCGCGCATGCTGGAGATGTGGTCAGCATCAGTTTATCACCAGATATGAATACTTATGTTACTGGATCAGTAGATAGAACATGTAAACTATGGGATCTGAGAGAAGAGAATGCAAAGCAAACTTTCTTTGGACATGAAGCAGACGTTAACTCCGTTTGCGTAAGTATAGAAAATATTCTATACCTCTTTGTGCTTAATGTTGCCATCTAAAAATACAATTGTTTTTTCTGTGCGATAATTTATAAAATCTTCTACTGACCTTACATTAATTCAGAGTTACGTTTGATTCAGTACCACCCTTCCGGACAAGCTTTTGTAACAGCTTCAGAAGACAAGACAGCAAGATTGTGGGATATCAGATCGGATCAGCAACTAGCTACATATAAGCCACCAAATTCGAACCCAGGATTTACATCATGCGGTTTATCCTTTAGCGGAAGATTCATATTTTGTGGAAGTGATGACAATTCTATCCATATATGGGATACTCTAAAGAATCAATACAATGGTAAGTGTTCCATCATAGACTTTAATACCAAACAAACATTTGTAAATTCTAATTGAGTTTACCTTTTACTCGAAGGTGTTTTAACGGGCCACGAGAACCGGGTAACATCGCTTAGCGTTACTGGAAATGGCATGGCTGTTGCTACTTGTTCCTGGGACCAAAATGTTCGAATTTGGGTATAATCTGACAAATTTGAAGAAGAGTGGAAAAGGAATAAAAGAGAGGTCCTATCTTTTGTTGAAATGTTCTTCACTGATATTTTGCGTTCCCCATGAAGTTTTTGATACAGGAAAAAGTAGGTCTACAGGGTGTCTACAAGGAAACTATACATTATATACATTAAATTAAACGATGTACCACAAAATATTAATTTATATGAATAAGTGCCTGTACTGTATGTTGAAAATTGAGGTTTATCCCTCCAGGAAAACTTAAAAATAGTTACTGGATTTTTAGTTCTTGATAATAATCTCGTTTTTTAACTGAAAAGTAAACAGTATTAGGAGAAAAAAATAAAATGCAAAGTAAAACGTATAATGATAACAGACTGAATGAATTGTGTTGTGAAAAATAGACACACTGATGTTTTTCTTTCCACTTATATTATTTGTATGCATTTATAAATAGTGCACATGATATTCACAAAGAAAAACTGCAATTCTAAACAGCGTATTTGAAAATATAGTTATTACATTTCCCGAATATATTCAATTTTGTGGGAATTTGATTTTTCAACTCTCTACAGTAGCCTCGTATTGTGATTTACAATGGTATCACTTTATTTCTACATTATACAGATAATATGTCTCTTCATCGATGCTGCAAAGTAGTGCTTTAAAAAAAATAGAAAGAGAGAGAGAGAGAGAGAGAGAGAGAGAGAGAGATTTTTATCTGTTACTAATACTTAAAGATTTGGTATTCGTTAGGCGTAAAGCTTTAAGGGTTAAGGTGCTTCTTTAATGTAGCAACGAACCTTTGGTGTAAATCTGTTCAACACAATTCTCGTGAACCTAGGCCAGTGGCTACATTAAACGTGTAACATAATACATATGTACTATGTATTCGATATACATGCTACTGTATAATTTAATGAACTGATTATAGAAATTTGTTCGACCCACAGTCGATAAATTACATCTATCATGAAGCTCCCTTTTTTTTTTAACGCTGCATACTGAATTAAGAGCAAGGTAACGAAAACCTCAACAGATCTTTACGAAACGATCGTTATCATTTATACTGAAATACTTAACATGGAATTCAACGTAAATATACACGACGTAGATTCGACGGAATAATTCAAGATAAAAAATTGATCTTAAAAAATATCTTACGGTAATTATATTACGTTACATAATGCTTATGTACATTCGTCAACCTTAAATGAAAGTGCGCCTCTCGTAGCAAGCCGCACCGTGGAACACTTTCTCACTGTTATGCCATATAAATTAAAATCCATCGAGGTGTATCAAGAGGGCCACGATCACCGTAGCCCCGGCTTCTTTGGTAGCCCACTTTATAGATTCGAACTGCGGATCATCGCTGTCTTTGCCACCAGGACTGATCGTATACGAGCCGGGCCTCACTAATAATTGGAATGCCGTGGAAACATTCAACTTTTTATTCGATTGCGTATCGATGTACCTAAGAAACACGAGGGTTTTAGATGAATAATCGAACATTGCTATAAATGAAAATACTTACGGGTACTTCCTGGTAAATTCTTCGGATGCTGCATACTTTATGCTAGGAGAAAAGACTACCTGAGGATTTTGGTCTTCAGCCTTTGTATTCATCGTTAAATTACTCACGTCCAATTGCTCTTTTGTCATAAGTTCTCCCGTATCAAGAATCAGCCTATAACCCAGAAGTAAAATTAAAGTTATTTCAATGAAAGTTACCTATAATTAACATACTTCATTTACCTGATCGCATCGAGACGTATACCATAAAAAGCAACATGCCACTTATCAGTTGTACTATGCGGAATCTGATTGGCATTAATACTTTGTTTCAATGGAAATCTGGTCCACCCAATTGGGACAGCAAACTCTGCCGGTGGTTCGCCTTTTTTACAAATTGCACTATCCCCTTCTACTTTATAACAGTTGCTACAGTAACACAGTACATCTTCTAGGGAAAAGAATTCATCCGGTAGAACCAGTGACTTTTTCAGCCTCATACACGTTTTCAAATACTCGCACTTTTTCGAAGGTATAATGTTCGTTCCAAGAGGAGTGGACGGTAACGATGGAGCTTGCAGCAGTTGCAACGAAGGTGCGTTATGAATAAGGACTGTATTTTGTCCTAAAATAGTTGTATTTCCGCCAATAGAATTATCGACGGTCACCGCATTGTTCCAGCAGGACACGTTTGAACGCACATCGTTGAAACTAGAAGAAACAGTGTTCGAAATATCAGATGTTGCATTACTCAGTGTATTCTGAGACGAGAATGTCTGTGACGAGCTTAATATATTAATAGACGTATTATTTTGATGTGAAGTGCTTAAATTATTTCCTTGACTATTGGACGCTATGCTTTCGTTTATCGCATTATTAGCGTTAGTATTTAAGTTAGTTATATTACTGGTACTGTTTGCGGTGCCATTTTTAATATTAATATTAGTCGCGTTATTTATCTCTACATTTGTACATTCATTTCTAATACTCGAATTTTCTGAATGGCTGTGCAATATCGCGCTATTATTTAGCTGATTTGAATTGTCGTAACTCTTGTTTTTAATACTTCGTGCTATTTCATGGCTTATGTCCGTACTCGATTCCAAATTATTACTGTCTGAGTTACTGGGCACTGCTTTGTTCTCGATATTATTCGCTAAATGCACATTGTCGTTGTTACACGTTGAATATACTACAATGTCATCGTCTTTAGTGTTTGAACTGCACTGACTCGGCATACTCGGTGAGGTAGAGGAAGATAAATCCGAAGAAATTGCTGCGATGATGTTTTCTTTCTCATGACACTCTAAGTCTGCTTTCTCTCTTGAGTTTTCAGCATCCTCCAGCTTTGTTCTTATACTTTCTATAGACGTTACAACGTTGTTAACAGTAGTAGTAGATGAAAACGACTCCCCGTTGTTTCCAACAATGGAAACTTGTTCACACTGTCCATACAGATCAAATACAGCATAAACATAAGGGGGTAAATCCGTTGCAGCTACGCCTTGATCCACACCGTTGGTAATTAAATGTAACCTGTTATCGTCATCGATAAACAAACCTACTACATTATTAGACTGAAGACTTTCCAAAGTAGCTCCGTATTTTGTTTTTACCTAATGAATAAAAATAAAATGAACTATTATTATACATTTCATATCTTATATGTATAAATTCGATAAATACTCACCCTAATACCATTGTGTGATATCCAGTCACTACAAATAATCCACGAATGTTTTTTAAAACCAAGAGCGGTCAAAGGAAAGTTAGCTTTTTCTGGTGAGATGCAAGTTACGCCACATAGAATGTTAGAGACCCATCGTTCGTTCAGCCTCTCTATTTTCACTAAAAATGGCTTGCCTTTTATTAAGGGACGACTAGACATTACCACTCCTTAAAACACACAATACATAGTGTAAGAAAATATTAAAATGAATAAATATATATATGTACAAGAATAAATCATACCTTGATTGTAACTTGCAACCCTCCGAGCAATAGTTTTAGTTTCAAGTTGTATATTTCTACCATGATTCTCATGAAACTCGTAAATCCAATCGCTTTCCCCTACTAAATGAGCAGCAGATTGCGTTGGGGTGAGTGTTGTATCGTTTATTAATTTTCCTTCAGATACATCTACCGATGTATCCATTCCAACGTCACTATATATAAAATAATATAACTATATCTAATTTGAGAAATAAAGGAATAGATACATTGAATATGATTGGCGCAAACATACTTTCGTAAAACAGGCGGCATAGGATCTAATAGTAACTCCAAAGAGTCTTGCAATCTCAAACTAGCATTCGGAGACACCGCATTGTTTTGTTGTTTAGTACTTGTTATATGTACAGCCACTGTACTACCAAAAAGATCGACCACAGCGTATACCATTTCTGGTATATCTGACGCGGCTACACCCATGTCTTCTCCATTTATATAAAATTTTAAGTTACCCTCGTGCGTACGCTTCATTCCAATTTTATCACCAACACGCAACCATTCCAAACTTGGACAGTAATTCATACACAAAACGTATCCATTATGTCTTACCTCATTACCTGGATACAGAAAATTTCAGTGCATAACAAATACTATAAATATGCATTGTATTTACTTTATTATAATATTACCTATTAAGTACCAAGCATCTGTTGAAATGGATCCTATACCAGGTACAAGGTTTATAGATGTCAACCATTTTCCACTTTCATTTTTCACAACACCTATCCTTAAACAGCCGCTCCATTTCCGGTCGGCTTCTTGAATGGCAATTTCGAAAATTTCATTATTCTCTAATGGTGTTTCGCTTAATAATATAGCATCATTGGGCTCTCCACATCTAGTCGCTACCGTTCTATCGCTATTCAATTGAATATTCAAGCCAACAGACTCGTGAAACTTATGCATTATTTCTGCTTGAGCTTGAAGTTGTATTACGGATGTAGGCTGTTGACTAGTACTATTTTCCGATGGCAAATACTGTTGTGTCATTGGATCCCTGCGTTCTGGTAGTACAATTGTGACCTAATAATTTGATGCGTGCATATAATGTAAATACTATATCGCTTTTTTTTTTAATGATTTTTTATCTAGAAAACAACTACAGCTTCACATACCTGAACACACTGACCATACAAATCAATCACAGGATATACGTGCGGTGGTAAACCTGTACAAGCAGCTCCCTGATCTACTCCATCTAAATAATAATGCAAGCTACCATCTGAACATCGCATCATGCCAATGCGATTACCTTCTACTAACTTGTCTAAATCACAGGCATAATTATTTCGTAGAGTAACACCATCACGCATAACATTAGATCCAGACAAAATCCAAGTATCGTGATCGATGTCTGTCATCGTAGATGGAAATTCCAATTCGTCGGGTCTTATAAGTGTCACGCCTAGAAAATATTCTTATTGGTACCTTATTGGAAAACAATAACATGATATTTATTTTTAAATATAAACCTGCTTCGATCGCGCCTGTCCATCTATCAACCATTTTATCAATAGTCACTTCAAACATTTCGCCATCGCGAAGAGCACGATTTGCAATCACGATGGCTTCGTTGAATTCTCCTAAAGCTCTAGGCCTTAATGCAGTCAACCCATTGTTTATTATTTTTGCATTCTTACCATGTATATGATGAAACCTCAAATCACTACTCAGAAAAAATAATTAATAAGAAATATTTTCAATTCTATGTTTCAGAATAAATAATATTATATACTACGAACCTATATAAAGTTGTATTGCTAAAGCTTGAATTATTTGTAGTGGGACTATAGAGGTCTGTATTGTCAACTATAGTTGCTTGTGCTGCCTGTCCATAAAGATCTATAACACCGTAAACTCTTTCAGGCACGTTCATTGCCGCTGCTCCTTGATCAGCACCATTCACATAAAAGTGCAACGTTGCGTTATCTTTTCTCATTACACCTACACGATCCCCAACTTGTAGTCGATCGAGATTCTGCCCATATTGATCTATTATAGTAGTACCATTATGCAACACTCCATTTTCTGTCATCATCCACGTGCCGGATCTGCAAGGGACATGACCACCTTCGAGCAATAACACGGGCGATAAACTTAACATAAATTTAAGACAATATATATGTATTAAAATAATTTGGAAATGTTATTTTACATACCTAACGTTTGTCATAGTAAAAGGAAATTCCAGTTCAGTCGGGGAATGTGTGGTAACTCCTATTTCAATAGATCCTGCCCATTTTGTTACAATTTTGTCTAATCTCACTTCAAATAATTCATTTGGTTTCAATGGTCTCGATGTTAATACAACACCGTTGTTAAAATCGTCTATTATGCTAAAAAAAACATTGATATATGAATTTTATTCCAAAATTTTAAAATTATTTTATTTAAAAATTCCTGAATCTTTCATATAAATTTTTATTTACTTAGACCTATGCGCAGTACGTCCATTATTAATCACTTCAACATGTGACCCACAAAAGGAATGAAACATGAGTCTGTCTGGTGGTTCTTCTTCTGCTTCTAGACATTAAATGTACCCCAAATGTTTGCAGTAGTTTATTAATAATAAAACGCAGGATATTAATATTGTGCTCTTACCATTTAGACCTTGCAATTGCAACGTGTTCCTTCTAGTAACTAAATTTTGTTCCTCTCTTTCATCACGATCGACGATTGTCACTTTTACGGTCATACCATACAAATCTATAACACCCCACACATCTGCAGGTACTTTAGCCGCAATACCTTGGTCTAATCCATTTATTAAATAATGAAGATTCCCATTTCTTCGCCTTATCATACCTACTCTATCACCTTCCTATGTAACACAGTTTTTTAATAAATCGTACCTGACATAAAATATTATTGATACTACTATTTTCGTTTAATATTACTTACCCTTAATTCATCTAGATTAAATTCTCCATATTCACGATACGTGCCTTTTCCATTTACCAAAATTCCACATCCCGACATCATTGTTGTTCCCGATCGCATATTAGTCATTGTTGCTGGAAATTCTAATGCTGTTGGGCTGTGTATAGTAACTCCAACTTCTATACTACCTGACCATTTGTGCACAAGTCTATCAATTCGTACCTACAATAATGTAAATCATGATAAAGCCTTTTGTATTGAAAGTTATGTATTTTATTCTTTATTTTCTTTGATATACCTCAAATAGTTCATTATCCCTTAATGGCCTATGAGTCATTACTACCCCATTATTAAATTCATCTAAGGGTCGTCGCCTTTCTGCTGTTCTGGCATTATTGGACAACTTTACCAGTGAGCCAACCCTTTCATGAAACCTCAGTCTATCCTCTCTAATAGCAGCAGGGCTTGGATTCTTGGGTAAATTAACATTAACATTAACATTTAAATTAACATTCAAATTAGCGACTAGATTTGTTGTTGAGGAATTAGATGCTTCTCCAAGAGCATAATCATTATTAATTTCAACTTCATCTTTTGGCTCATTACATAAAGCAGAGTAAATTGGTGGGCGAGTTATAGTCACTTGCACACAATCACCATACATATCTACAACTGCAAAAATGCGTTCTGGAATATTGGATACAGCTACACCTTGAGAGACACCATTGATGTAAAATATCAGCTCATGCTATAATTGGAAAAAAACAAGCAATAAATAAAAAAAGTTTTCAATACAAATATTCTAACATTAATAAATGATGACTCACGTTAGATGTCCTCAGTACTCCTAAAGTACTTCCTTGTTCTAATTCATTCAGATCCATTCCATATATTTCTACTGACCGTATTCCATCGTGAACAATACCAGAATTGGTCATAATCCATGTTCCTTGACATAGATTAGTAGCACATGCTGGTAATTCTATTATTTCTGGATCACATACTGTTACTCCAATTTCTATGCTACCACTCCAAGATATCATCTGCATAACATGAAGTTGTACATGTTACAATATTTGAATTACCAAAAAAGTAATTCAATGTAAGATCATTGGTGTTTTGGACAGAAATTATTAGTTCCTTACTTATATATTTTGTTGTTGCACACATGTACTTAATAAAGACGATAACAAAGAATTATAAAATACAACGTATGAATGTGTAATAATTGTAGATTTTAATAATACAATACGAAATCTATAACGAATCATAAAAAAAAAGTTAAAGACAATAAACAAACTGCGATTATTTACGATTTAAATTATTAACGGTACATTGTACGACAGTTTTTAATAGGAGTATGGAACACTTGTAATTTCTGAAAAAATAAATCGTTAATTAAAAACTTTAAATCATCAACATTGTAAACAACGTTTTGACAGATGCGAGGACCAGCGATCCACTAGCAAACTAGACGGGCTCGAAGTTTACGATTTGGTACCTTTCTATCGATGCGAACTTCGAAAAGTTCTTCATTATTGAGCGGCTCCGCGCTGAGAACCAACCCGTAATTATATTCTGAAACATCCCGTACGGCCGTGCGATTGTTGTTTGTCAAAGTTACACGATGACCGCATCGTTGATGAAACATGTCGACCATTTGTTGTGCACCGACCGTCGACATATAACCAAACCATATATTACCTTCTTCTTTCCACTATCTCTTTGTCCTTCTTTAACCACTTCCTTCTATATATATTCTGTCTCACTCTCTGTTTTGTCTGTCTCTCTGCGCGCAGTCATGAACGATGTAATAATTGCAACTTTATGGATAAAATAGGGGCGATCGTATGCATACTTTGCTATACCTTTCTCTAGCAATTCCTGATTGGATGATGTTAACTCTAAAATAGGGGTTTTATTTAAAATTTAAAAATTAATGATAAACAGATAAAGTACAATAAAGAAATAAAAATAAAATTACAAAATATGAAAATTATTATGTATTGGTGAGCACGTTTTGAGAAACTATTATTTAGAAATACAATTTATAATATTGTATGTCCCATGATCTTCCCGCAAAGAAACAAGGTCTATCCTGTACCTCGTCTGTGCTTGCACCTAACACATTTTTGTGTCCAGCGTTCTGAAATACCGAAAATCAGAATTTTTGTTATGCCCCCTACAATATGAAGCGGTGAGTTTAGGAAATACATACAATGCAACCATCAAAGATGGTAAAGTCTACAGATGTAAAAAATTCTCTTTTATTAAATTTGCATATAAAGACTTGGGTAGAACTGTTCACGATCTTTTAACAGCAGTAGAACATGCGCATGTGATGAATCATCTAGTAATAAAGAATTACGTTACTTTTTTATTTGTAATTTCATATTTACGTTTAATTCCAATTCCAACCACTACTAATGTTGTAATCTTATTCTATGCTGAATCGGTAACATTGGTAGCGACACGAAAATGGTAAAGGTCTTCTCAGCCCGAAAGCCCCGGACTAAAAATCCCATAAGGTGAAAGGTCTACCTTATACATCGTTTGTGGTAGAAGATAAACCGTAGCGCCAACGATGAGGAAAATGATGTCGATGTAAGAACTGCCTGTGATATGAATTAAACGCGACGCTTGGGTTTATGCCTAATAATTAACAAGGATCGTGGATTCTGGGTTTAACGGTTAAGACTTTAGCATTGGAATAAAGATTTAACTAGAAGTTGAATTTAAATAATTGAAATACAATTAAAATATAGAACGACTAAAACTAAAATTCAAATTAGAAAACAGAGTTCGTGTTTTAACTTACAATTCTGTTATACTTTTTACGTTTATACAAACTTATTTATTTATGTATACCATTTTACCATTTTGAGTAAATAAGAGTAGACCACCTCGCATAACGTAAAAACAATTGAAGGACGATTAGTGAACAAGAGAATAACGTTTGAGCTTTCTAGGTGCTTTCAGGGATTTACGAAAGCATGCACTACGTCGGTACTTTAAGGTACAAATTACAATTTAACAATAAGGTAAGGTCTTTATCCTATGTTACAATAAATACGAGCTATATTTAAATATAAAATAAAATTATGATTATAGTTACATTTAGTTCGCTATGAATATACAGGGTGTCCCGTAACTCCTCGAACACCCGGAAATGGGGGGTTGCTGGGGTGACTCTGAACAACTGTTTCCTTTACCAAAATGTTGTTTGAAGCTTCATTTTTGAATTATTAACGAAAAACACTGGCCAATCAGAGCGCGCGTAGAGCCCGCGCTCAGGGACGAAGAACAGAGTCTCATCCGTGCGTGATGGAACAAATGCGTACGCGTGACTTCTCGGTTATCGGTCGCTGTCAAAAACATTTGACTTTGCACCGCTATTTTTATAAGGCTTAGAGAAATGGTTTTTTTTGCCGTCGCACAGTGTTTCGCGTATATGGGCGTTCGGGACAAAACTCATAACTTCTAAGCTAATCAATTTTCAACCTAAGTCCTCTAATACTTTTTTGAAGAGAATTCTCATATGCATTGATTGGCACATAAAAAAATGTTTTCATTAAAAAAAATTATAGTGATCTTTATTTTTTATTGAATAAAAAGCTTTTTGTAAATTTTTACTAACGCAATTTATTATCAACTGATTATAATTTTAATTTCGATTTATCACGACTTGTCACATCGTGTCACGTCGTGTCAAGTCATGTCACGATTTGTCACACCATGTCACGTCGTGTTACGTCATGTCACGACTTGTCACACTATGTCACGTCGTGTTACGTCATGTCACGTCGTGTTACGTCGTGTCACGTCGTGTCACATCGTCCGGGTCATCCGGGGATATCGCACGGTGTCATGCGAAGGCGGTCATGCTCCGCAAAGAGGTGGCGTTGCGAGAGCGGGAGCGGGAGGGAGAGGAGGAGAGCCCGTGGAAGAGGATGATGAGGAGTGGAGGAGGAAGAGGAAGAGGAGGAGTGGCCGAGGAAGAGGAAGAGGAGGAGTGGCCGAGGAAGAGGAAGAGGAGGAGAGGCCGAGGAAGAGGAAGAGGAGGAGTGGCCGAGGAAGAGGAAAAGGAGGAGTGGCCGAGAAAGAGGTAGAGGAGGAGAGGGGGACATCATATGAGTTCACCGACCCGTTCGTAACATCAGCTGTTTCGGATTACCTGGATAAGTCAGGATCGACACACTGACCCAGTTCCGTCGAAGCAGATTAATTCGTGGATGAATGGGTAAGTTTTTCATAAGTAATAAACCACTTTATTCCTTTCGGATAACGAATAAAAGTGTCGAACACAGTTATTAAACGACTTTCTTGTTATTCATGAAAAAGAAAAAAAAATACGTTTTGTAAATCTATGTCAATTACACACACGCTGAAAATTTCATCGTAATCGGTGGATAGATAAACAAGCAACAGGCATTGAAAGATGTAAGAATCTGCAGATTTATCACAGTTCTAAGCCGAAAGTCGTGAAATAGTGCGATTTTCACAATCTTTAACCATTTGTAGCTCATAACAACATTAACCGATTTCGATGAAATTTTCAGCGTGTGCATAATTGACATAGATCTACAAAACGTATTTTTTACATTTTCATTATGAGCTCAGATAAAAAAGTTGTAAAAACGAACTTCGCTATTTTCTTCGCGATTCAGACTAATTGCAATTTTTTAAAAAATTTATACAAACGTCGGAATGACGGCAAAAAACCATTTCTCTAAGTCTTATAAAAATAGTGGTGTAAAGTCAAATTTTTTTGACAGCGATCGATAACCGAGAAGTCACGCGTACGCATTTGTTCGATCGCGCACGGTTTAGCCTGGTCTTCGTCCCTGAGCGCGGGCTCTACGCGCACTCTAATTGGCCAGTGTTTTTCGTTAATAATTCGAAAACGAATCTTCAAACTACATTTTGGAAAAGGAAAAAGTTGTTCAGAGTCACCCCAGCAACCCCCCATTTCCGGATGTTCGAAGAGTTACGGGACACCCTGTATGTATAGGTGGGTAAGTACATTAAACTAGAGGGGTAGATTCTCATGAGAATTGCAGAGTGTGGACCTCATGTCTGGTTCGCATGAATCGTGAACATTGTGCACTTACATATTTTAACAAATATAACGAACAAAAGAAAATTTATTGTTTATTATATTTTTTTACATGGTTATGCAGTGGATCAAGGTATTCAATTTTCTTGTCAATTGAATATCGATCTTCTCGGTAGAAAATCTCGAATGTTATTGATTTTAGTAAAAACTCGAATCGAATATAATCATTTCGATTCGATTTAAAAGCACTTATCTCTGGCTGCATGTAGTATGTACATATGTATATATAATGAGTTAGCTGTGATTAACATCATGCCCTGTTTATTGATGTTACAGAAAATATTTCAATGTTGAAGGTACTCGAAGGCATGAAGATTTTGATGTTCTCAGTAAAATCTAAAGAAGATGGAAAAAATCAAATATACACACATTGTAAAAAATTATTTACATCTTATTTAACTTTTTACGAGTGTGAAACGTTTTTTGAGTTACCATTTTTCTTAAAAATAAAAATAGCTATTTAGAAGTTGTTATTCAAGTATTATTTAACGATGAAAAAACTAGTTAAAAAATTCAAAGTATAATGAGCTTATCTATGAATACCTATTTACACGTGCTTCGTTGCACGATAAGTTTTCAAACGATAAGTCTCAACAGTTTTCAAACGAATGAATTCAACAAACATTCTATTGAATGAATCACATGTGCTATTCTGATATATGAATCATGTTAGAATGTAGGTGTGACAATGAATACCACAAAACATAAAATATGGTTTGTAATTACTATATTAACAAAATGAATTTGTTTCTTTTTGTTTGTTTATCTTGTGAATTGTAAAGAAGTACTTATATATATTAAATTTTACAGTATGGTATCCGACTTTTTTTATCCTAACATGGGTGGTGTGGAGGAGCACATTTTTAATTTATCTCAATGTTTACTTGAACGTGGACATAAAGTTGTAGTGCTTACTCATTCTTACGGTGATAGAATTGGTGTACGTTATATGACAAATGGCTTGAAAGTATGTACAATGTACAGTCTATTAATAATGTTTATCAGCTATATATTTTAAGAATACAATGACTTCTTTTTCAAGGTATATTACATACCAGTAAAGGTCTTCTATAATCAATGTGTTCTTCCAACGATGATTTGTTCCATTCCTCTTATTAGATATATTTTTCTAAGGGAGGAAATTCAAATAATACATGGTCATTCTGCATTCTCTGCTCTTGCTCATGAAGGAATGTTAATTGGTCGGTTAATGGGATTGAAAGTAAGTTGTTACATAATAATTGAATATACAATATCACAGGTTACATTATCTTTATGTTTGGGATTTCAGACTATTTTTACAGATCATTCACTTTTTGGTTTTGCGGATGCGTCCGCAATTTTAACAAATAAATTTCTAGAGATATCATTAGCTGATTGCAATCATTGTATATGTGTATCACATACTGGGAAAGAGAATACAGTATTAAGGGCAAAAGTTGTAAAAGAGAAAGTTTCTGTTATTCCAAATGCAGTAGATACCACATTATTTATGCCTGATGTCAGTAAACGAAATGATAATTTTAGTAAGTCAGTTCCTTTTTTTCTTTCTTTATGCCTATGTAACATTATGAGATATTAGAAAAAGATACATAATATTACTAATATCACATATTATTAATTATAGTTACAATAGTGATAGTATCGCGACTAGTATATCGCAAAGGTGTCGACTTATTAGCTCGTATTATACCCGATATTTGTAGTCGGTACGAGAATGTGCAATTTTTAATCGCTGGAGATGGTCCTAAAAGATGGCTCATAGAGGAAGTACGAGAAAGAAATTTGTTGCAACATAGAGTTACATTACTTGGAAGTTTGGAACATTCTCAAATTAGGCATGTCTTGAACAAAGGACATATATTCCTGAATACAAGTCTGACAGAAGCATACTGTATGGCAATCGTTGAAGCTGCAGCGTGCGGGTAAAATATTAAGTAAAATTTTATTTTTTATCAAGTCATCATCGTTTACCTCAATATAATGCTCTTATCCATTATAGTTTACAAGTTGTTTCAACAAAAGTTGGTGGTATACCTGAAGTATTGCCACCTGATTTAATTTATTTAGTGGAACCTACAGTACCTGCTCTTATTGAAGGGTTGGAATCTGCTATAATAGATTACAAAGAAGGAAATATTATATGTCCTCTTAAGATGCATAAAAGAATAAGCTTATTTTATAATTGGTTTAATATCACCAAAAGAACTGAAGTAGTCTATGATGTAGTGAAACAAGAAAATAGGAAGAATTTAGGTGAACAATTAGCAAGTTATGTTCAAAGTGGAGTATTAGCATACTTGCTTGTTGTATCCTTGTGCTATATTATTTTACAAGTTTTAGAAATTCTTGTACCAAGAAAGGTAAGTTAAAAGTTTTGCAATTACAGAAGATTCTTTCTAAACATCAATTATTAACAATCATATATTTCCAGTACATTGATATCGCGAAAGATTACACGGAGATACATCCTCAAGGAGAAGGAAAAGAAGATTAGTGATTAGATGTCCGAGAAACAGAATGTGATTCAAGTATTTTATCGCAATGGTATACATTTTATATACCAATACATTCCTACCAAATATGAAGATTGTTAATAATATTACTTTTAATGTGCCTTCCCACACAAGAGGTACAATTATATACTCTTTAGTATTTTTTCTTTTTTTTAATAACTTTCATGCCGTGTAAATGTGTATGTATAAAAAGAAAATATACAATGTCTAAAGTACAAATATAATTGTTAGAAAAAATCAAATCGATTTAATGTTATTTTATTGTTACTATCCTCTATCTTCATAAACAATAATGATCGCATTATTCATAGAAATGATTTCATATGTTGTTTTAATGGTTGTTTATTATTACAGATAACACCTTACGAATCGATGTATTCGCATAATATCGCAATAGCTTATAATTACAATACTTATTCACATATCTAAAATATATTACACCATTAACAATTACTCCTTTCAAGCTACTATCATATTAAAATTTTAATACTTAAAAAATAAGAGGGTCAAATTGAAAATATAATAATATTTATTTTATTATGTTGTACGTTAGATACAATAATAATATTAATACAATATCAATGATCTGTTCTTGTCTATTTAATTATCTTTGTATTACTGTACATTTATCTATTTATACATAAATCTTTCATGTAAGGGTCTATGGTCTTCTCCTAAGAGTAGTCCTTTTGTATTAAGAGAAGATCAATGAACCTTAATTAACAACCATTATAATATTAAGAGCGGTCAGATCTGTCGCAACATTTTCCGCACTATAAACAGAGAGTATTCGAGCCATTTTGTTCCAAATATTAGTTCAATTAGGAAAAACAAGAGAAAAAAAAAACAATATTTTCAAACAGGTGCTAAAAGTTTTCTCCTTTAACTCCTTGTTAGAGGTGGGACACTTCATGAAATGTACACTTACAATTAAAACTTTACAAAAGATACTGATTTTAAATATTGGATTAATTAAATCTTACATAAACTCTTTGTTAAATATTTATCGTTAGATTGACCTCAGTATATAAGAAGGCTATGCCGACGAGAGTGAGATCCACACGTAGGCACACGCAGTAATCAATCTGGAATTCCTTTATATGTTATATAAATTTTTCAGAATCGACAGTACATACTCCTAGCGTTACACGAGCTTACTTTCATATTTTTTTCTGGTGCAAAACAGGAGAATGGAAGATAGTTTATTTCCTTTATAAATTGTACAACATGCAAGTATTATTTTTTCTTTATATATCATTGTATTCAAAGTGTTAAGAAAGTACAAGAGCTTCTTTTACCTCGCAATGACACTGCCATGAAACATACACAGTTTCTTTAATAAGTATCTTTCTTCGTTTATGGCAGCTATATGTAAATGAGACTCCGGAATAAGGAGCGGTTCGTTCTATAATACACAATGCATTGTCCTTGAACTGCTGCTTGCATTCAATCGTTCAGTCAAAATATCATTAATTTATTCTTAAAAACAGTCGTAAAACGGTCAAAAAGAAAAATTATTCAACGTATCAAACGTAAGATAATTATTTCCTTAAAACGTAGTAGCGAAATATAATCCAAGGCATAGTCGTATCATTATCGTGATGTTGCGATAAAGCAAGAAATCCATAGGATTTATATATCGTACTTGGTGCTTTCGGTACAAGCAAACACCGACGCACCCCATCAACACTGTGCTTGATCCATGATGTTCTTTTGATTACGAGCACACATTAACAATTTATTTTTGCTTGCTAAACACCTTCGTGAGCACATATTGCTTTCGACTGCGATGTTTCCGCGTGTACGAGTTATCGATCGGCATAATTTCTTTATTTACGGCGATGATAGTGAAATATTACAAAATGTTTCAATACTATATATGTATATAGTAT